GAAAAATGGATGATCTGTTTGTTATCCTGCCCCACTCCCCCCCCTCCTGTAAGTTTTTATTCCTAGAACCCTGCTTTACCTATCACAATCAGCAGAACGAGAGAGAGAGAGAGAGAGAGAGAGAGAGAGAGAGAGAGAGAGAGAGAGAGAGAGAGAGAGAGAGAGAGAGAGAGAGAGAGAGAGAGAAAGAGAGAGAGAGAAAGAGAGAGAGAGAGAAAGAGAGAGACTTGTACGGTGGATGAGTCTAGTCGTTGATGCTGGTGAACCTATTTTGAGTGAGGGGGGGGGGGGAGGTATATGGTATTGATCCAGGCACCATTCCATCTAATACATGTTTATAAATCCAATTTCTTTGGCCTTGGTCTTGTGTATGATCTAATACGCTACGCACTACGGCATAAATCAGGCATCGTGCTCTCCGTACCAAGTGTGCATTGTCATACGTAATGCATCGTGCCCTCCGTATCAAGTGTGCATTGTCCTATGTAATGGCTACACAAAGACTCTACATAAGCTTGATGTGGTTTTGTTCTGTGTTACTTGGAAGTCAATGCAAGCTGGTACACTGTTCTTTGTGTGTTCTTCTTTGTACTTTCTACAGAGAGGAGAAAGCATACAAAGGATCCATTCGAATTCAAGTGCGACTATCAAACAACCCCACTGTGAATTTATCGTTTACCGGCCGTGGTGTACTGGACCAAGGACAAGCAGACAAGTCAGAAATCTGAGGAATTCAAGTGATTCTCGTGTACGTTCGTCCAGAACGTTAGTCACCACCTCAAGTGACAGCAACAGCAGTACTGGTGTATCTGTTGCAATATGAAGCTTGAGTAAAAATTAATTTTGAGATTGTCAAGTGTTATAATTATATCGTAAACCAACGTACTGCAAGTCAAATCAATATACATAACACAATGGCTGATGCTACTTTTACAAGAATAGAAAATTTCCTGTCTCCAAGAAAGTTTTAGAATTATATCTTTTTATTTTTTATTATTCGCTAGCTGTCAAGAGATTGAGTTTCTGTTATCAAACTCGGATGGTGAGCCAGCTAAGGAGCTTGTGCCTTAGGCCCATGCTCTGTGAGTACAGCTTCATTCAGCTGCATTACTTCAAACTACACTATACTAGTTTCTGTCAAGATGTCACCACTGACATCATAATCCTGCATTGATAGATGTCATTAATGGTGATGCCGAGTACCGTCACAGATAAAACGGGAAACCAACAGAAACAAACTGTGACCAGACATGATGTTTTTGTTGGATCTATTGCTGTGTTTCACACAAAAACTGTCATCTACACACTCACACACGCTCACGTATGCGCCCTCTCTCTATCTCTCTCGAACATGCACACGCACGCACACCCTCACACACCATGCACACCCTCACACACGCACGCACACCCTCACACACGCACGCACACCCTCACACACCATGCACACTCTCACATACAGGGCCGGAGGCAGCTTCCGCGGAGTGGTGCGGCCGAAGGACCATGTTTAAGGGGGGTCTGGGGGTCCTCCCGCAGAAATTTTTTGGAATTTAGACGGCAAATTCTGCACTCTGGGCGACTCCCTGTACAAAATCATACATCGAAACTTTTTCTCCCCGGTTTTGGACGTTCCACGCCCACTTTTTTTTTTTTTTGGTACGGCCATGGCCGTACCGGCCGTACCAGTGGCGCCGGCCCTGACACACCATGCACACCCTCACACACCATGCACACCCTCACACACCATGCACAATGAACACAATCATACATGTACACACACGCACACACATTCTATGTACATGTTGTTAGTTTATCTAATACTGGTATTGTACTGGTATTGTACTGGTATTGGGTTATGGTTTAATACCATTCTATGTACATGATTGTATCTACCGTGCATAGCATTCTATGTACATGATTGTATCTACCATGCATAGCATTCTATGTACATGATTGTATCTACCATGCATAGCATGCTATGCTACGCTACCGGATCAAAGGCGGTTTGGGTGGTCCCCATTGTGAAATTTTCTTCGTCCGGTGCTGTGAGTCCTCTACGGAACGTCGCAGAGGCAGAATAGATGTCATGACATACCTTGTAAACAAATTCCATAGAAACATAATGACAAGTAAAAGTAGGCTAGCTTGGCTTTCAGTCATGATGTAGACCAGCATCTACATCTACACAGCACACTACAGCCTACAGCCTAGGAATCAACAGTTGAGCCGTAAGCCATGCCATGGCCATGGGCCAATCAGGATAAAACGAAACAAAAAATAGTTCGACAGCCAGCATTGAGAGTAGATCTACCTCCGGAGCACCTTGCACCATCCCCCAGGCCCCATCACTAGGCATCAGCCCTGGCCTGTAGCCTGAGTGTAGGTGTGTTCATGGTTGTTGTCACTGTCAGCTAGCTGCATGCAGTCTACAAAAAAGTACCCGCTACCCTGTACTCACGTGATCACCCTCACATGTGAGTCATAATCATGAGGGATCGGAGACATTCGGAGTTGCCCGTGTGTGAGGAAACCCCGGGCTTTCAGCAGCAGCTGATCATTATGCCATGGGCATGGCATGGCATGGCAGCACAAGCAGTCACACTAGCAGACCAACAGTACTACAGTACAGACAGTCTACAGTACAGGAGAAGTCAGGTTCATTTCGCGAAGTTCGGTGCAGCTAGCCATCCTTGCGACCTTTGCGGAGAGTTCATTCATGACATTGTGGATTGGTATCTAACTTACTTTTAGACTCACAGATAATTCAGAGAGCGTTGTGAGTCTGAACCTGGCAATGTTCTTAGTTTACGTCCTCCTGCTGTTTGGGGCAGGGGCGAGTGAGGGTGCATGGGAGGATGGTGATGACGGTGTTGACCGGCGGAATGGAGATTTGCCTGGGATGCCCGTCAAGTTAGAACCAGGCAATAAACCATCGGACTGTGCCGATATGTGCGTGGCTAACGAGCAGTGTGTGTCATGGGCGTTTGGCAAGGCTAACTGCACTGAAGAATATATAACACTGGACTGGGTCCGAGACTCCGCCGCTCCAATGTGTTGGTTGAAGGGCCAAGTGACACAGCAATCCGCTGACAAATGCAGGGTAGGCAATGCTGAAATGATTAGTTTGTATTAAATTTTGCAGGAATGATGTACTGTCGTGGACATGGAAATCCGGTCGCACCTCTAGCGGCCCCAGGGCGCTGGTCATGCAGCCGTAGTACGTATTATTATGCGCTGCTGCTGGTCGCATCGGATCAACATGATTGTGCACTGCATGCAACGACTTACGTTCTGTACGCGCTGAGGGCGCCGGCCCCGGTCAATCGACTGGATTTCCATGTCCATGTCCGCGACATTAATTTGCTAAATCCTATATATAGGATTTTGGTCATATTTTTCAACTCAGAATGGATGTGGCGAAAAAAAGATATTAACATTCTACTCCCCATGCTAGAGTATAGAGTAGACACACACGCGTGCAGGACGCAACACACCAAAAGACACGAGAGTGAGTTTGGAAGAATGGGAATGTCGGGCAGAGTAGCTGGCCTCAATTGAGTGCGCGTTAACGAATCGTGTGGTCGGCCTACCGAGGGCAGGAGCTGTATATGACCAAGTGGGTCGGCCTGCGCTGAGCAGGAGCGGTTTGTGACCCATGCGAGTTGGTGGGTCGGCCTGCGTTGAGCAGGAGCGGTTTATGACCCATGCGAGTTTAATAGTAGTGCGCGAGAGGCCAGTTACGGAGGAGTGCCCGCATCCGCGTGTTTCAAAATATGTGGAGTGGAGTGTAAGAGTAAGAAATGGGATAAGGAGGGTGGGTCAGAATTTGAAAGCTGACTGCAGGCAAAGAAACTGGAAAGATAGCAAGCTCTGATGTGCGGACAGGAAATCTGCGCAGAGCGTGGGCATGTGGTCTATGATACACAGCAGTATGTAGAGAGAGCAAGATTGTGCACACACGTAAGGAGGGTTATGCAACCCGTTATAAAGGCCAACAGCGAAGCAATGGTACGTGACTTTAACAACGGTTAACTCCTACGTTAACCGAATATTTTTGTTTTTGCTTTCTTCTTCTGGATCATAAAAAAAAGTAAATTATCGTGTCCGTTCCCGAAGGGAACTCACGACGGCCGCTAACACCCGATAAACCCTGGATCATAAGCAGAGGCAATTACTCCCTTCCTGCTCACTGGAATCGCTACATTCTGAGTGACAAGATAACATGCATTGACCAGACACCTCAACCTAACTTATGATCGTGTCCAACCAACTTCTCATTACATCAAGAAAAAACCCCACAGCAGAATCGCTTCAAAGAGTTGCATGCTTCATGTCTCTTCTCATACGTGTGCTCACTTGTCCCCAACATTTAGCACTGCCTTTGTATTGACCAGCATGCAATCTATGATCGATTTTGAACACACCAGCAGTACATGAGCACATGAGTGCATGAGTCTAACAAGGTTGAAACAACTAGCTCTCTGGAGAATGAGTATCACACTCGTTCACCTCTGCTGAGTTGAGTAGTCTTTCTGGTAGCATCCAAGTTATCTGCCCTCGTGCATAGCCTGCTGTGTTTATCCCAGTTGGAGCACTCTGGCTTTGTTGCTACGAGCCGGTGTAACAAATGGTTCGTTAGACTTGATTGCGATGAATGTTGCCAAAGTCACTTTGAGCTCCGCTGACGAGACTTTACACGGTCTAAACAGCTAGCTGTCTGGAGCGGATTGAGTGAGCAGAAGAGTATATAACTCTGATCGCCAAGCTATAGGTACCGTGACCAACGTGCTGCCTTTGTTTTGTCATGAACGACGCTCAGACTGACTGCATTTGAAATTTCCTATGGTTTTGTCACTTTTGTCTGGTTGCACACAATCATGGCTATATGTGCCAAATATACTTCTTCAAAAACTGGTTTGATGCATGGTTGATGAGCTCTCCTGACATACGGGCAAATCTGAGATACGGGCTGAGTGGCCTGTCCCAAGGCACCCGGATAAGAGATGTTTGAGTGTACCTGTATCTCATCAGACCCATCACCAAGTGGTCAAAATACTGACCACTTGGTCCCCCATTCGCTGCATCCATGCTTCCCCTCGTACCAGGCCAAGAGCTCCTAATTAATTGTGGGTCCCAGCATTGTTGGAAAAAATCCGTCCTCTTCCAAGCAGGACTTGAGCCAGCTGCCTGATATCTAAATTATGGTTTTAGACAATCCCACTATATGCCTGCCTGGATAATTGTGACATTGTTTAATGCCAAACTGTAGAAAGCTATATGATTTTAATTATTTTTGCTTTATGGCTGTAGGTGAGTGGAGTTCGCAACACAACACTTCTGCCTCTAGCATTCACACCACTACCCACAGCGGCAGTCAAACCGACAGGTATAGTTTTTTAAATACTGTTCATTATTATATCCTGATATGTGTATGGGAGGCTGGGGCTTGTTATAGTCCCCCCGAATACCAGAGAATTACAAACAGGAAAAGGTTATTGTACAGACAAGTTGTACTCACTACACAATAACCAAAGTGATGCATACGACAACCACAGGCGTGAGGAATTAGCATGCTCTTCTTTTGATTGTACTGCGTAAGCTTAGTTGTGTTTCCTTCAGTGATGATTTGTTAGTTGCGTTTCCTTCAGTGATGATTTGTTAGTTGTGTTTCCTTCAGTGATGATTTGTTAGTTGTGTTTCCTTCAGCGATGATTTGATTATGGAATAGGGCATGCATGTGCACATATGTACGTTTGAGTGTGTGTGTGTGTGTGTGTGTGTGTGTGTGTGTGTGTGTGTGTGTGAGCAGTTCACCGCCATGGCCTTGGTCTTCTGGACGCTCACAGTTAGACCCCAACCCGAAGCACAGGACACAAACTCGTTTGTCATCGTCTCCAAGTGGCTCAAAGAGGTGGTGTAGAGAGCCGCATCATCAGCAAACTGGGACTCTGTGACGTCAGTGGAGGCCAGTCGAGACTTGGCGGTCCGATCCCCAACAAGCTTCCTGCCGACACGGTAGCGGACCCGTACACCCGGAACAGAAGACTGGCGATGCCACGAAGAGACCACTGCAGAGAAATACAGATTAAAGAGCGTAGGCGCCAGTGTGCAGCCCTGACGCAAGCCATTCCGGACGTTGATGTTGTCCGTGACGACGTTAGGGAGCCGAACACGCGCCTCCATGCCTTCATGGAGCGACTGGACAAGGCCAAGCAGCTTCGGAGGAATGCCCAGATTGCGGAGCACAAGCCACCTTCCATTGATCTTCAGGATGGAGGAAGCGTGGAGGTTGTGGACAGCTTTACCTATCTTGGCAGTGTCCTGAGTGCAGACGGTGCTCTGGACAAGGAGCTCACCTCCCGTCTTGCCAAGGCCTCTCGTGCTTTTGGCGCTCTCCAAAAGCCAATCTTCGGGTGTAGCGGCCTATCCATTAAAGGGGAAGTTAAGGCAAAAATTAAAATTTCACCAGTTGTAGTCTTCGGGGTGCTGAGTCGAATGGTCGTGGTCCGAGGAAGCTGAGACGCTCCCTTCCTACTTGAATCCCAATCGAACTCGCGCACTTCCACCGAAACTGGGTGACTGCGCCCTACGAGATGGGGATTTGTATGCAAAATGTCACTAAAAGCGCCATTTCGTTCTTATAAAAGCACGGATGACCGCGATTGGCCCATATGTTGTAGTCTTTGGGACGCTGAGTCGACTGGTTTTGGTCCGAAAAGGCTGCGATGCAGCGTTCCTCCTTTATTCCCAATCGAACATGGTTGAACAAGTGGTCACGTGCTCCTGGGTGCCCAAATCACCTGGTCACCACGCCAGCAGGTGACAACTTTCACACCAAGGTTCAACTCGAGTTCAACTCGAGTGACAGGACTGCACCCAAAAAAGGTCAAACAGGCTAGTAAGTTGTACCCTGCAGGCACGGTGACCAGGTGACTGGCGTACGCAGGAGCACGTGACCGCTTGTTCAACCATGTTCGATTGGGAATAAAGGAGGAACGCTGCATCGCAGCCTTTTCGGACCAAAACCAGTCGACTCAGCGTCCAAAAGACTACAACATATGGGCCAATCGCGGTCATCCGTGCTTTTATAAGAACGAAATGGCGCTTTTAGTGACATTTTGCATACAAATCCCCATCTCGTAGGGCGCAGTCACCCAGTTTCGGTGGAAGTGCGCGAGTTCGATTGGGATTCAAGTAGGAAGGGAGCGTCTCAGCTTCCTCGGACCACGACCATTCGACTCAGCACCCCGAAGACTACAACTGGTGAAATTTTAATTTTTGCCTTAACTTCCCCTTTAAGTCTAAGCGTCTTGTCTACAAGGCCATTGTCCTCGCTACCCTCTTCTATGGAGCAGAGACTTGGCCCATGAAGGCCCGGCAGATGAATCGCCTGAATCTGTTTCATCGCTCATGCGTCCGTTCCATCTTGGGAGTCTCAAGGAGCGATCAGCACTCCCGTCATCTTAATACTGCTGATCTAGCCCAAAGAGCGCGTCTTCCTGAGGACATTGGCGCTCTCCTGCGTGAGTACCGTCTGCGTTGGCTGGGTCATGTTGCCCGTATGGACGCGGCCCGGATTCCTCAACAAGTGTTGTTTGGTGAGCTCGAAGCAACCAGACCACGGCATGGGCCAAAGAAGCGTTGGCGAGACACGATTGTCGGTGATCTGCGCTCGCTGGATATTCCGGAGTCCGAGTGGTATCGGCTCGCACAAGATCGCCTGGAATGGCGCAGGCGGGTTCATCAACATCGTCTTCCTCCCCCGGCACCGAAGGACTTTCATTGCGCATGCGGCAGAGCGTTTAGGAGAAGTGGCGATTTGAAGCGTCACATCAAGTACTGCCCAACTCAGTAGCCTATCATCTCCACTGGAGATGGGGCGTCAAAGGTCAAGGTCAAAGGTGTGTGTGTGTGTGTGTGTGTGCCGTGAGTGAGTGCATATCACGGGACTGGCGGAAGCAGTTTTTGATTTGTATATCCAATTTTTCATACAATTGACCCAAGGCAGCTGCTGCCTGAACCATGCAGGGCGGTGCTTGTAAGCGCTCCGATTTATAGTGTTTTTTTAAACTTAGGGACCGTCCGTAAATACATGTATTTACTTAGAGACGTCTAACAGGCGTTTCTGGTGGGTGGGTTTGCCTGCAAGGCATTTCTAAAAAATACATTTCGGAGTGCATGCATACTATACCGTGCAGAAACATGTTCATGATGTAGCACTGCTACAGCTAGTACCAAGAGTGTGATAACCCCCCCCCCAAACACTATACTCTTGCTAGTACATGATTGTACAGCTAGTACCAAGAGTGTGATAACCCCCCCCCCCCCCCCAAAACACTATACTCTTGCTAGTACATGATTGTACAGCTAGTACCAAGAGTGTGATAACCCCCTCCCCCCCCCCCCCCCAAAACACTATACTCTTGCTAGTACATGATTGTACAGCTAGTACCAAGAGTGTGATAACCCCCCCCCTCCCCCCCCCCCCAAACACTATACTCTTGCTAGTACATGATTGTACAGGTAGGCGTTGCAACACACTACACTGCACTGCACGCATCACGGCAGAGTAGACAGGGAGACAGGGACACATAACTGTTTGCTATAAAGGGTCAATTTCGTATTGGTTCAAACAGGGACATGGACAAGGGTCCGCTATATCACGAAATTCGCCACATGCGAGTTCGTTATAAGTGGGGTCGACTGTACTGCATATGTGTGCATAGTACAATCACATGTATGGTGTTTATTATGAGTGGTATTATCTGCCTTTTGGGGGGGGGGTCTGGAGGTGGGTGGGTGGAACAAGAAAGAAACGCCTGTTAGACGTGTCTATGTAAATACATGTATTTACGTACGACCCCTTAGTGGCAGTGGTGAGGCTTCCTGCAGCTTCATTCATAGGAAAAGGCCTCAGAGCAGACCACTCTTTCCCATTCACTCTGCTGTATCAAACTCTTTTATCAATACTTCGAAGTAGTTAGTACAAGGTTAAGGCAAATTGCCCTCATCAGGTATGCAATGACATGCAAGCTTGCAAAGGACTTCACTCGGAAGAATATCCACGGGAAATGCCCAAAAGCATAACATCGTGTGTGTACGGGCATAATCCGTGTATCCCCAGCCACCGATAGTGTTTTTGGAATGACGGGTGCAGCAATATCGAGCGAGAGAGAGAGAGAGAGAGAGAGAGAGAGAGAGAGAGAGAGAGAGAGAGAGAGAGAGAGAGTGATGATACTGCCATGACGGCTCATGACAAAAGTCCAGCAACATTGAGTGATGTTAGTACGAGTTGTGCCTGGTTAGGTGACTTCCATGGAATCTCTCTCTCTCTCTCTCCCCCCCCCTCTCTCTCTCTCTCTCTCTCTCTCTCTCACACACACTCTCTCTCTCTCTCTCACTCTCTCTCTCTCTCTCTCTCACTCACTCACTCACTCTCTCTCTATCTATCTCTCTCTCTCTTTCCCCCCCCCCCTCTCTCTCTATAAATCTATACTCCACTTCTGTGCTAGCCATAGACTGTTGCCATGGTATTTCGTAGTGTGCCTTGTACGATCACGTCCAAAATTTGTGGACTCCTTCATAAACCCCTTAGCGACAGTTTAGGGTAAGGTTTTAGGGCACTGTTGGAGCAGAGACCGTGCAGCATGTCTGTGTATTATGGTCCTGCCAGTCGATCCTACCGGTAGGACCGGAGCCTATGCAAACTATCATTTAATATGTAGGTCAGTAGGATATCATTGTTTTGTTGTGTTCTTTTGTCATATTGTTGGCTTGGGTCCGTGTAGGTTGGCTGCTCAATCAGCTTAAGACGCAAGCAACGGGATTGTCCGGCCATTTGTCACTCTTCTGGCCTGATGTCAATCAGTCTGTCTGGATTGGTGGGCAACATGATCCTGGCTTGAATGAGCGTACTCCCTACTGGCTGAACGGCTTCGTACCACTGGCCTATCAGCTTCAGGATAAATCCTTGCTCGATCAGGTATTGTATGGTAGTTGTATCAGGTATTGTATAGTAGTTGTATCAGGTATTGTATGGTAGTTGTATCAGGTATTGTATGGTAGTTGTATCAGGTATTGTATAGTAGTTGTATCAGGTATTGTATGGTAGTTGTATCAGGTATTGTATGGTAGTTGTATCAGGTATTGTATGGTAGTTGTATCAGGTATTGTATGGTAGTTGTATCAGGTATTGTATGGTAGTTGTATCAGGTATTGTATGGTAGTTGTATCAGGTATTGTATGGTAGTTGTATCATAACTGTAATACATGTAGCTTGGACTTCTTACATGTGCTAGTGGGTGGAATAGAAGAGTTCCTTTGCCCTTTTTTCTCAATTTTGAGAAACATACAACCAAACGTCTACAGTGGAAGCTGGTGATTACGGACACACTAGGTGCTGTTACTGGGGCCAAATGCCTTCAATTTACAGGTGTCCCCGATTATTAGTTGCACACATCAACATGCAATGTGTACGTCATTTTGTTCCTTTTAATGAATGCAACCACCACATCCACCTCTCCCGTATGTTTTATGTACATGTACATGATTCTCTCCATGTTGTCACTTGCGCACATAGACGGTAGAGAACCGAAAGAGCGCATAATCATTTACTCCCTCTGCGGTTCTGTTCAGAGGTGGTGTCCAGGCTTCAGGTCATACAACACGTGCATTGTACATACATTGCATGCTCTGCTGTAAATCCATACTCGTTTGCCTTGTAGCGGTAACGAACTCCACAAAAGAACTTAAGCCAAGTGTGAACTTTGTACACTAAGGGCCCGGTCACACCCTACACACTCTAGCATACACATTTCCTTGCCCCTGACTGTAGAATTTAGGTGTGTCCCTCTCGGGAGACGGGGCGCCCCGCAGCAATGGACGGTATAAGGATATCGTGCAAATTGCCCATTCTCTTCACCAATGTATTACTGTTGACTGCCATAGGTACAAAGCTATGTGACGTATGTACTGGACCATCAAACGGCAGATGGGTGGCTTGGTCCTGAGCCGGATCACAAGGATGGAAATGCTTACTGGTCGAAGTTTCCCATGTTGATGGCACTTACCCAGGTAAGGCATACACACACACACGCACGCACGCACGCACACACACACACACACACACACACACACACACACACACACACACACACACACACACACACACACACACACACACACACACACACACACACACACACACACACACACAGACACACACACACACCATTGGACCATTGGACGCCCATTGCCGGAGGTGATGATAGCGATGCTACAGCAGAACCCATAGCAGCTTGTGCTAGGATTACACCATTCAACAGCTTGCAAGGCTGAAGAATTGACAACCGCTATTCAGCCTGGTCTACACCACCCAGCTATGAAGGGGCTTTTTTGGCGAGTGAATCCCTACTTTTTGGTCTTTTTCATTTTTTCCCTCACACACCCATCGGACGACATACTCCGGCATGCACCGGCTGTTGGTAACCACCCAGGAGAATGAAAGAAAAGTCAGGAGGAGTCTGAGAAAGAGAAGACAGACGTGTGTGACCATAATCGTCGGGAATCGAACCCGCAACCTATCGATTGGAAATCGCTGCACCTACCACTGCACCATATGGGACACACACACACACACACACACACACCCACACACATACACACAAACACACACACAGCTTTGAGTAACATGTCTGTGATGCTCACTTAGTACGTACTCTGTTTTCTGTACTCTGTACGTATGTTCGGGCCTAGTTTAAAACTGGCTTTGGACATTTTTTTAAGAAGAAAAGAGGACCAAAGAGCTCTCCACCCGAGTCTGATTTGGGAAATTTTATTTTTCATTGCTATCAGGTTCGACCTCATTTTCTCTGTGCTGCGCTGACGAACACACAAAGGATTTTAATCTGTTTAAAAACAGTTCTGTCTGCAAATAATTGAGTACCCAGACAAGACATATACTGTTGCTCAGTATGGACATTATCCAGACTATAGATGTGTTGAGCCATACTGTTTGTATGTTGGGCTAAGCAGTACATGACTCAGTGTCTGCTGCTCTAGGATTTCAAATTAATGGCGTACAAGTGTACCTGTCACAACGCTTGCAGCCAGGTCAGAGCCCCGTGCATGTACATTCAGGTGTGGCTACGACATGTTCACCACAGAGTCGTGGATATACATTGTTTACGACTCCTGATGTACATTGTTTATGACTCCTGATGTACATTGTTTACGACTCCTGATGTACATTGTTTACGACTCCTGATGTACATTGTTTACGACTCCTGATGTACATTGTTTACGACTCCTGATGTACATTGTTTACGACTTCTGATGTACATGTATGATCCGAACAATGCTAACTAGGTACTCTGTTTGCACACGCCTCCTGCACATGCTTGCAGCCTGTCAGCGTGTACCCCTTGAAGTACAAAAATGGTGCTCAAACATGCATGCTCCCAAATTTACCACAAGTGACCCAGCGTTCTCATTTCAAACAGGTTCAAGTACCCACCACCAAGCCGCTGATCGGGCCGCGGAGCAGACACTGCATGCACCACGGATACTATAGTTTGTTTCGAAAGTCCAGATCTCCAGATTTGCGTTCTTCACTCCAAAGGCAGCTCACAACATGTGCCACCCATCCTGATGGCGCTTGGGTCTTTCTCCCTCTCCCAGGGAACCAACCACAATCAGGTTCTGTAACGTACTACCACAGGTGAAAGAAAGTGATCAATTTGAAAAGGATTGGGAGAACTTCAAATTCAAAGTATCAGTCGGGGAAGTAAACTGCCTGAAAAGAGAAACAATTGAACCCCCCACCAGGACTCAAACCCGGGATCTTGCTTGTCGTGAGCAATGCTCTAACCATCAGAGCTATGGGACCGGTCCGAACCGAGAAGACGCTGACAAGATTTTCACTCCAAAGGCAGCTCAGAACACGTGCCGCACATACTGATGGCATGTGCAAGTGAACAACTTGTCAGTGCCTTCAAGTTTCGGCCTGGTCCCATAGCTCAGATAGTGGTTAGAGCATGCTCATGACAAGCAAAGTTACGGGTTCGAGTCCTGGTGGGGTTGACATTTCTTCTCTTTTCACTTTTCAGGCTGTTCACTTCCCAGATTGATGCTTTTAAGTGTGAATTAGTTAAAAGAAGTCTAGACGTCCATACTTTTGAAATGCACTATAAGCGCATTTTCTTGCTGCTCATGGAATACATTTCATCAGAGTTGCACTATATTATATTGTACCGAGAGGGAACGTGAAGTCTGTAATTTATAATGCAGGTAATGTATATAGAAAGTAGTTGAGTCGGGACATAATGACTGAACTGTTTGACTGCATATCAGAGTGCTCTGGTGTGTTTTGTTGTGTGTTTTGTTGTGATTTGTGGTGATTTACTGTGCCTTTAGTATCATGAGGCAAATCCTGGCGAGACTCGTGTAGTTCCGGCAATCATGAAGTTTCTTCACATTGTCCATGAGAGTATGTTTCAGTCAGCACTGGGCGGTTGGTAAGATATACGTATTATATCCAATGCCTTGTTTAGTATACTGCCTTCTGTCTATGTTCAGTATACTGCCCTTCTGTCTATGTTCAGTATACTGCCCTTCTGTCTATGTTCACAGTATTATATCCAATGCCTTGTTCAGTATACTGCCCTTCTGTCTATGTTCAGAGTTCTTCAGCACACTGCCCATTGTTATGTCCAATGTCTTTAAAAGGCATTACCCCATTAGCACGAATCATCTACACGTTGTCAGTTCAGGGTAAAGAAAAAAACTATGAACCTTTAGCTAGAGCTTCTGTCGTGGTTCTTAACTCTCTAACCCTTTTAGATTTTGTAACGTCTTGTATGTAGCGATACTCATCAACTTTGGTTGCCAAAACTCAGTCGGACATGATGCTTATACTCAAGATGTGAACAAAAATGCGAATTTTGGGCCTGAAAAGGGAGGTGGTGCGACTTAGACCCCAGTGCAGCTAACACACAGAGGAGAATAAGGTACTGCTTTACCTCCTCACCTCCAACTCCCCTCTTTGCTGCTTGAATTAAATACAATCATACTATACTTGGTCCGCGTCAGCAATATTGTCGCTTATCTTTCATCTTTATCTTTATGTCGCCAATGCTCACTGGACAGCCCATTTCATCCCAATTTTGGTTAGTAAGTTGGTTTACTAGTACCTAAATGGTCTAGCTAGATTTTGAGTGGATTTCAAGAGCGGCGGGTGGATGATTCTGATTGATGCCATGCCGCATCAAAATAAATTATCTTGTCACACTGCGCCGGCAAGAGCAGCGCGACGCACAAGAAATTAATCGGCTACTTGGAATCAGTTCCGTATTGCAAAACAGCCAAGATCCTTTACCCCGGGAATTGCTCGCCAAGCTGAGATCGCAGTTCCCTCACCTCCAGCTCAACGATCGGAGTATCCAGCGCATCGCGGAGATTTACAAGTACTGTACGCATCGTCGTCGTTCAAAATATAATCTTGCAAAGAACGGCGACTGATTTCTACCACGCAGGCAGTTGTGCTGCCCATGCGAAGTCCTATAGAGAAGGCGACTGTCATGATCGACTTCCTTTTAGAAAATAGCCAGGCATCGGAGAGGAAGAGAGATGAGCTTGCGAAAGCGAGAGAGTCGATCCCGAGCAAAAGATTTTTCACCAGCGCCGAGAGTAGTGACAAGGAGGACCAAAAAAGTATGAACCCTTCCTTGGACGATAAATTCCTACTGGCTAGGTGTCATTCTATACCTTACTTTCCATCGTACCAAGTTTTATCACCTCAACTTCTCTCTCTCAAGTGCACGCGTTGTTGTCCAAAGTGGAAGCTCAAACTGTCGAAAGAAAAGTGACAATATTGATTACGCGGACCAAGTACATGCTTTTACAAGACAGGGAAGGCCGCATGATCTACAGTCAACTTCGCATATAACGACATTCGGCGGGGCATCAAAAAGGTGTCCTTATTCGCGAAGTGTCGTTATACCCGAAGTCTCATTATGTATTACAGTGGGATGGGACTTTGCTCTGGGCATGGAAATTCTGTCGTTATTCGCGAATTGTCGTGATATCCGCAGTCGTTATTAGCGAAGTTGACTGTATAGGGTATCAATAGTACATCTACAGGGTATCAATAGGGCAGAAAATACAAAGAAGCCAAAGCAGCACAAGCAATGACCTAATCATCAGTGGCACATTAGCTCTGCACTTTCCTTTCTTTACGTATTTCAGAGAAGTCTGATTGACCAACTATGCTTGTCATAAAATTGAGTAGAGGGAAAGTGGGGTGGGGTGGGGGATGGGGGATGGGGGTTGAACATTGTGACTCAGTTGAGCACATGACGGTTGGCAGAGGTGACAGATTTGTGAATAGCTTAGGACTCTCAATGTCAATTTGGACTTCGTGGAGAATTTCGAAGTACTGAATTGCAGGACATTTTCGGACAAAGCCGAATTTCGACCTTTCGTACGCATTTCATTTTCGTACAGTGCTGCATGCTAAATGCACGTGTTCGCTTGCAGTGCGCATGTATAGTGTACATAATTTCACATGAACAAATTTGAATACGGAATTAATTTTAGTACATAAGAGGCCGTGTACGAAATCGTGCAAAAATAAACTCCGTCCGAAAATTTCCTGCTGTACAGTATTAGTTGGAAACAAGCGTTTTGGAGACCGCCGCAACTTTAATATCGCAACCGAGAGGACAAACCGTGCGGTAACCATTGTCGTTATTATACCTGATGATCATAGCGAGAAAACTGTTCTGAACATTTTTTTCCTTTTACATACACAGTTCACAATTATCTCTCTCGCAATTTTGTTGTTGTAGTCATGATACGAATGGTTACCGCACAGTTTGTTCTCTTGGTTGCGATATTACGTCGCAGCAGGAAATGAGGCCACCTGCCTCACACTACTCTTTTCTCCCCGAAACTCAACGTTGCAAGCCAGTTAGGAAATAAAGGAACGAATCATCAGTACTACCAGCGGGACTGGAACCAGGCACCTTGCAATTCACCAGTAATACTCTATAGCCAACTGAGCTACAGTATGACTCTTATCAACGGTGATGGCAAATTTATCCTTCCTCGATCAATCAATATCTGGCTTGCATCATAGCAAAAGAAAGGTGCCTGGTACCAGTCTCATTGGTGTGACTGATGGTTTTTCTTTCGTTCATGTCTGAGTTCCAAGTGTTGAGTTTCGAAGAGAAAAGAGCTGTATGAGGCAGGTGTCTTAATTTCCTATTTCTCTCCATGTCGTGGATAAAAAGTAGGGGTGAAACGAACTCAAATCCTCCGTATTCGAACGTTCCTGATGTCAATCTCCTGAAATTTCTTTCATTCTCCTGAGTGGTTCCCAACAATCAGTGCACGCCAGAGTATGTGGTGTGATGTGTGTGCGGGAAAAAGGAAAAAACCAAAAATTAGAGATTCACTGGCCAGAAAACCCCACAGTTTCATAAAGCTGTGTAGTGTAGACCAGCCTGAATAGTGGCGGTCAATTCGTCAGCCTTGCAAGCTGTTGAGTGGTGCAATTCCAGAACAAGTTGCTATAGCTTCTGCTGTAGCATCGCTATCATCGCCTCCGGCAATCGGTGTCTAAGGTCAAAGGTCACATGTGCGTGTGTGTGTAAAGAGCCGGCTAGTTTGGTTGTTGGATACACTTATGCAAGATGATGTGGGGTCTATTGCCACCTTTGTTGGTTCCAGGATTCATTATACGTTCTACTTGAAGGATACATACCTGTTAACCATGGGCTGATTCTGGCTACATTAACCCTTGTGTAATCAATGGTGCTCATGAAGCTTATAATTATCAGATCCACTCTGATTGAGCAACCCACACTAGTATCAAGGATTACCTTCACTGGGGGAAGGGGTAATTGCAGTTGGATCCCAGGAAAAATACCCCGATGCCGCCAATCCTTTTTCTGCGCATTGCCCTCACCTACTTACTGAGGTGTGGTGAGCCCATAAGTAGGATCATTTCGAAGTCCACCTATAGTTTTGGGATATAAGGGGGTGTCGGCCGTTGTGCGGGTCAATAACCAATAATGAGTCATCTTTCCAAGATTCCTTTTGAGTCTTTCTCCCCTCTGCCAGGGAGACACACGTGACCAGTTTTGGCAGTGAGCAAGTACAAGTACAAGTGTGTGTATGTGTGCGTGCATGTGAGAGAGTGTGTGTATGTGTGTGTGTGTGTGTGTGTGTGTGTGTGTGTGTGTGTGTGTGTGTGTGTGTGCAAATTAGTGTTTGTGTGTGGTTGCGTGTGTATAGATATTTATGTGTGTGTGTGTTTGTTTGTGCGATTGTGTGATTTTGTGTGTATGCGTATGCATGTGTACATGTGTGTTTGTTTGTGTGGTTGTGTGATTTTGTGTGTATGTGTGTGCATGTGTACCTGTGTACCTATGTGTATGTGTGTGTGTGTGTGTGTGTGTGTGTGTCCCATATGGTGCAGTGGTATGTGCAGCGATTTCCAATCGATAGGTTGCGGGTTTGATTCCCGACGATTGTGGTCACACACGTCTTTCTTCTCTTTCTCAGACTCCTCCTGACTTTTCTTTCATTCTCCTGGGTGGTTACCAACAGCCAGTGCATGCCGGAGTATGTGGTGTGATGTGTGTGCGTGAAAGAAATGAAAAAATGAAAAAGACCAAAAAGTAGGGATTCACTGGCCAGAAAAAGCCACTTCATAGCTGTGTGGTGTAGACCAGGCTGAATAGTGGCGGTCAATTCTTCAGCCTTGCAAGCTGTTGAATGGTGCAATCCCAGCACAAGCTGCTATGGCTTTTGCTGTAGCATCGCTATCATTGCCTCCGGCGATGGACGTCCAATGGTCCAATGGTGTGTGTGTGTGTGTGTGTGTGTGTGTTTGTGTGTGTGTTTGTAATAGGTCAGCCGCCAGATATCAAGATTTTGTATTGACCTGCCACTGGCTTCTTGACAATAACAAAACTGATGAGGAGCAGTTTGTATGGGATGTGGCTGAACTAGCTCATCAACAGGTATGGAACTCCTATATGTTCTGGCTTTGGCACTTGCATCTTAACCCATATATTTGATAGGCTCTTCCCTTTAATCATATCATACACAAGTGATGTGTCGTTCTCACAAGTGATGTGTCGTTCTCTATGCCAGTAACCAGATCAGATGAAGTAACTTATGTTAAAACTCATAACAAGTTCATAGTCCTGGTGTAAAGCGGAACAAATCAGCATACAGTCGTAATAACGACCTCGGATTTATGAACAACTCATGATTTATGACACCATGTGTGGACCTATTGACCATTTGACAGCACACTTTCAATTCGCGAATATCGACAACTCGTGACTAAAGGGGAGGTGCATCGATTTTTCAACACAGCCCTTCTTTCACTTCATGAATACAATAAACCGATAGAAAATGACCAAATTCTGTAGTGATCGACCTTCTCTCTCACTGAGCTAAGCAGAACGTGCGTCATCACTGCGCTGGTCGCTATGGCAACGTGAGCATACAATTGGCGATTTGGCAAGTTTGGCTTATTGTATCCAAGCGAGAGGTATGCCATTCGAACCGATATCAAATTGTCTTTCATCTGAACCCTACTTGAAAAATCGATGCATTTCCCTTTTAATGACACCTCTCTCATGCATGATCGAGGGTCGTTGTTCACAGAAGCCAGGCACCGTAATTTTGTTGAGTGTAACAGTTACTTTGCACAAGCCAGCCACTGGGACCAAGGATTTCACTTACTTTTATAAACTTGTCGTTTCCAAGGGAGAAATGCCCGGTCTTAGTTCTGCATGGGACCATGGCTCCAGGGGTTGGTGTATTGCTCCACTGATCAGTTTCTCTGCCGCTTTATGTATGTATCTACAAAGGGAAATGACTGGAAAGGTTTCTTTGATGCTTTATGTGTGTGTCTACCAGGGAAATGACTGGAAAGGTTTCTTTGATGCTTTATGTGTGTGTCTACCAGGGAAATGACTGGAAAGGTTTCTTTGATGCTTTATGTGTGTGTCTACCAGGGAAATGACTGGAAAGGTTTCTTTGATGCTTTATGTGTGTATCTACCAGGGAAATGACTGGAAAGGCTTCTTTGATGCTGACACGTTCCCTACTACTGCAGTTACCCAAACTACAATGTACACACACGGAGTCAACAATGGACAGGCCATCAAATCTGAGGGTGTTTGGTAAGACTTGTTTGTATGTATGTATATATGTGCACAATCTGTGACGTGATGGAGCAAGTTATCTTTGGGGCCGTCTACTCACATTATACTGTGTTGCATGTGCTACACATGAGTTATATGTGTTGCTTGTAATTATTATGCACAGTCATCTAGTGCCTTGCTGTGCCATCGCATGGTACTCCTTCCATGTATGGCTTACTACATGCGGCAAGTGTACCAAGGATCTGGTGTAGGGGGGGGGGGGGGAGCTCTAACTTTATTTCCAAATAACCTAATTAATTATCCCTGTGAATGTGATGCTGGATTGGTTGATAACTAGATTTACAGGGTGATTTTTCCGAGGCCATATGTACAGCCGATTCTGTAGTATGGAGCAACCATGAGGCCTTGAAATAACACATACCGCACCATTTGCATGACAAATCCCCCAACCCACCCATTTTAGTTATGTACATGTGGGTATGAAATTGTTCTTCTCTATAATTATGTACCTCATAAAGCTGAGACGCTCCGTTCCTCCTTTATTCCCAATCGAACTGGCGCACTTCCACTGAAACTGGGTGACTGCGCCCTACTAAATGGGGATTTGTATTCAAAATGTCACTAAAAGCGTCATTTCATTCTGGTAAAAGCTCCTGGTCACCATGCCTACAGGGTACAACTTACAGCCTGTTTGAGCGCGTTCCTGTCACTGGAGTTGAACTCGAGTTGAACCTTGGTGTGACAGTTGTAGCCTGTAGCCTGTAGGTACAGTGACCAGGTGACTGGTGCACGCATGAGCACATGACCGCTTATTTAACTATGTTCGATTGGGAATACGGGCCGAACACTGCATCGCGGCTTTCTCGGACCAAAACCAGTCGACTCAGCGTCCGAAATACTATAACATATGGGCCAATCACGGTCATCCGTGCTTTTATAAACACGAAATGGCGCTTTTCACTCACAAAGCGACTGCTCAGTACATGCGGTAGTGGTCTACCAGAGCAATCACACTCACTACCCTAGTAGTTTTCCAGAAATGAGTAGAAGAAAACCACACTCGCAGCCACATAATAGATAAATTATCGGGAAAAAACAATCTAAATCAATCAAAGAACCGCTAGCATGCGGGAGAAAGAGCCGCAAAATCAGGAGAAGCACCATGGTCAGTGGTGAACATGGGTGACTGGGCAGCAGGGGAGCGCCTGAAAACAATGACTCCCTATGTTCCTAACCACGACTGCTCAACCAGGCTAGAGGAAAAACACGCCTTTCGGCCAAAAACCCATCTAGTTCATTACTTCCTGCCCCACTGCCAGTCAGACACAATAATAGAGAAAACAAGAAAAACTAACGGCGAGGAGACAATAATTTGATAACCGAAATCAATAAGACAAGCTGAATCGACATTTGTGTATACTTTATTCATGCAATGTAAAACGGTAAAACCTTTTTTTGTTATTACACATTGTCTCCACCGTTTTACATTGCATGAATAAAGTATACACAAATGTCGATTCAGCTTGTCTTATTGATTGTGGTTAACAAGAAACATTGAATGTATTAAATGGGATATGTTATATGCCACACGCATCGGCATAGAAGAACAACGGATGACACCCATTAAACCGGGGTGGGTGGGCAGGCAACTTCACCTACCACGAGGAAAAAAAAGACCACGATGGCAGGTTCAATGGAGTTGCGCAGAACAAGAGCAAATGCAATGCACGAACATTATTTGTGAGTGAAACATACGTTTTTGCACTCTTTCGCTACGCTCAGCCGCGAAAAAACAAAACAATTGTCGATTCAGCTTGTCTTAATGATTGCGGTACAATCTGACCTCGCTTATCCGGTCCTCTTTTATCCGGGCCCCTCGCCACCTGGAAGAAAATCGCTGGTTACCGATGTGCAGCATACATTATGTATACAACATAACTGGACCTCGCCATCCGCATACCGGTGCATGATTTTGTGTACAAACTGGTTGAAATGTGTACAAAAAGCTTTGTCATATCCGGTTGCACGTGGCTTGCAGAAGCTAGAATCAGGGAGTTGTACAAACAAATGAGGTCCTTGACCTACTGGCTGGATGCGGATAGCACTCAGTTGCATGCACTTGTCATTTTTCTGCGGCTTGTTTTACGTATTGTGCACGCTGGTTGTACTGCATAGGACCTGTCTACATGTACATGTAGGTACAATGCCACCTCTTTTGATGTGCCACATGCATATACAGTATGTGTGTTCAGTAATCCGGTCCCTTCACCTATCCGGATATTTTCGTGGAAAACGGATGCGGATGTGTGCGGATGTGTGCGGTTAAGCAAGGTCTGGCTGTACTAACATTGTTCTCTCCTCGCCGTTTATTCAAATGATTATTGTATGTTCTTCATGATAGGTGGCGTCAGTCGCGCAATCAAAGTGATAATGAGAGTAGCTACATACGTATGAACAAGCTTGACAAGTATCATGGAATGCCGTCGGGTATATTCAGTGCTGATGAACACTTGGCCGGACTCATGCCATCCAGAGGTAATTATAGGAGAGGCATAGGTTCCTTGCAGTACTGCACCTAGTATTCGGTATCACATGATCTTGCACCTGCGGGCAAGTGAGATGTTCTTCTACCTATATCTATACACTTTGTTTGTCATGTTCATCACATTCCTTTAGAACTTTAGAACCGATTTGTTTATCCATTGCTACGTGGAGCATTTTGATGGCTTCCGTGGGTTTTCTCTGCTTGTATTCATGCTGTGAAAGCCTTTAAAAGTATTTTGGACTTCCTTGTTTCCAAAGGCTGAAAGCTCACTAGGCCAAAACCTTTTTATAGTCCGTTGTTTACGCTATCTTCTATCCATTCTATTCCTGATTCTCTGATTGGCAGGTGTGGAACTATGTGCTGTGGTAGAGGCGATGTTCTCCTATGAAGTCCTCTTCAGCATCACTGGTGATCCTGTATTTGGTAAGTGGTCATCTTTTGTGGAGAGCTGTACTTGTTGTTGAACAGATTCTTTGCTTCATCTTACTTGGCTTATAACTGTTAGTCGGCTTTCAGTAGTGTTGATTGGACTACTTGGGTACAATAAAACCTGGTTTAAGCGACCTCTGGTTTAGTGATCACCTGCTTTTCAGGACCGTTTTTCCATGCACTGACAGTTCTACACAAAAGAATGCACCGGATACTATGACCACCTGCTTTGCGCGACCAGCGACCGACTTTTAGTGTACCAAGCGCCTTATCTCACCTGGATCCAGCAGCCAAAAGTGCTATCCTAGCTTTCATGCTCGACTGCAACAGGGCTGAAATGCATTCAGAAGCTGGCGCATGCAGTCAACTGACGTGACAAGTGACTGTGAAGTGTTCACAATGCACTGCATGCACTTGAACGAGGCGTGAAAACTCGCGAGTGCTTCGCCTGTACTGGCTGTAACCTAGCCTTTGTGTGCAGTCTGTACGGCTGGAAAACTACGCGGTCATACTACACGAGTATGCGCATATGTACGTCGTGAAGATGCTTTGATTCGACCGTATTCGGTGTTGTCCTACATGAGCGCATACTAGACTGCACGGTGAAAGCACGAGTTTAAGTATCGTCGATCAACGACTATAAAATCTAAGGCCTCACCATCCGGCATTCGTTCGATTCCAGTCAAAGACTGGTGACTCACCAAGGACTCGGAGGAATGGCTGCGCCATCAAAGAAACTCCGTTGCCTCACTTTGAGTGAGCGCGTCAATGTTGTCGAGAGGTCGGAGAAAGGATAATCTGCGCATTTATCGCCAACAAACAGCCAGAGGAAACAAAGAAGAACAGCATGCCAGTGATGTTGAAACAGACCAAGGGGAAGAGGAAGGTGCTGCCAATTATATCTGGTGCAAAGACTTTGCAGTACCTCAATTGTTCAAAGGATTTTGCATTGAAACGTGGCATGCAGGATGTTCTTGAGCTTGTGACGAAAGCAAACGATATTGTGTCTGATGCTGAACTTGTTCGAAAGTCACAACCGTACCAAGGTAGTCTTGAGCACTGGCTGCACCAGCACTGATTGCATGCTCACTGTCCTGACGCAATATTTATCTAAATAATATCCTATCGTTCTGTTGATCGCGATTCTGAATGAAATCATTTCAAACATTGTTCTGTGCTCGACACTTGTCGATATGATATGAGTACAGTGGACTCCACTTATAACGAACTCGCATATAGCGAACTTTGCGATATAGCGAACCATTGTCCATGTCCCTGTTTGAACTCATACGAAATTGACCCTATATAGCGAGCAGTTTTCGTTTATAACGAACCAAACATTCTAGGGCTGCATGTAAGTACAGCAAGTGCACGCATACTGCCATGGGCCACATATCAGTCAATCCGACTAAGGACTTGGACGTGCTGCTTGTATAGTGTGAGTGCATTTCTAATACAACCATCTTCGGCTGTATAGAACTAATTCTCCTGCGCAATTGTGTTCGTTATATCAGGATTCGACCGTATGTGGAAGTATGTGTGCGGTACGGTATGCCGCGAATGTATGGAACCTGGTTCCAAAGAACCTGCCTTTAAGACTGTTTTTGCTCGTGCTGTGGGGCGGTCGCTGAAACCCAGGTTTTACTGTATACAAAAAGTTAATGCGGGAATATGGCCAATTTCATGTATGCTATTGGGTTTCTATCTGCTGTGGATTTGTGTGTTAGCTGAGCGTGCGGAGATGATTGCATACAATGCACTGCCGGCAACATTCACCAAGGACATGTGGGCACACCAATATCTACAACAGCCTAATGAGATGAATGCCATACATTCTGATGATCATGTTTGGACGCATGATGGTCCAGACTCTACACTATATGGACTAGCACCAAACTACGGATGCTGTACAGGTACATTCTATTACAGTAGACTTGGATAATAATTATAGGAAATGAACTGTCTACTGAGTCCCACATATTCTGATAGATCATTAACCCATGTATTTCCCCGGTGCCCTGTTAGGTAAAATATCAGATCCAAAGTTCGTTCTTTACAAACAAATAAAACCATTAGGCCACCTAGAATTAATTCGTTGTTTCGGGTCACTTCACTCATCCGTACCAGGTACGTCGGTCGGGTTTATTTTTATATGTAGGACTCAGTGACCAGTCAAGGCCCCATGACCAATCACGGTCCCCGTGACCAGTCAAACAGTCACAAATTAGTTTACCAGTCACAATGCCCCATGACCAGTCACAAATCACCATACATGTACATGTGTAAAGTACACAGTTCGTGACTGCTCGCAGAGTGCTTCGTACTGCAGGATTTGTTGTGGAAACTATAATTCCCTATGAGCGGTCACAGAATACAGTTGTGACCACTATAATTCCATGCGAACAGTTACATGCAGAATGTACAGTTGCGACCACTCTTTCTCTGTGAGTAGTCACAGGCAGAATATAGGTATTTCTGTATTACAAGAGAGATTGGAAGCTTTGTGACAACTCTGAGTTTCACGAAGTTGGTTGCTCCAACGAGGAGCAACTTCATGACATTACCGCCGAAGTCGCAACTTCTAAGTTCTGAGTTTCACGTATCACTAATTCGAGTACGATCGTCAGGCAACTGATGGCTCCTAAACGGGCAGCCTGAACATAAGGGGGAGTAAGGTGGGAAATTCTGAGGGGTATCATAGGCGACGCGTATCATAGCGCAAGAGTCAGGTGCAGGCGTGAAGTTGCCAAGTCTTCAGACTTGGGGCTATGCAGAAGCAATTCCAGCGTGAATGACATACTCGGAATAGAGCTGGGGACTTAAATGCCAAATCCACACATGCCCATACCATTACACGTACATACACCCACACTCTATCCCTTTTCTCACATACACATACACTCACACGCGCGCACACACATACACACACACACACACACACACTCATTCTCTAAATCTCTCTCACACACACACACACGTTCATTCTCTAAATCACACACACACACGCACACACACACACATCCACACACACACATCCACACACACACACGCATCAACACACACACACACACACACACACACACACACACACACACACACACACACACCTCAGACCGCAGACCTGCCCATCGCGGAAGCGATGATAGCGAACAGCTATGTTAGACATAGCAACTTGTGCTGGGATTGCACCATTCAACAGCTTGCGAGGCTGATGAATTGACCGCCACTATTTTTAGCCTGGTATCCACCACACAGCTGATTGAAGTGACTTTTTCTGGCCAGTGAATCCCTATTTTTCATTTTTTTTCATTTTTTCTTTTCTTATTCGACACACACACACCACACCACATACTCCGGCATACACTGGCTGTTGGTAACCACCCAGGAGAATGAAAGAAGAGCTAGGAGAATGAGAAAGAGAAGAAAGACGTGTGCGACCATAATCGTCGGGAATTCAACCGCAACCTCTCGATTGGAAATCGACTGCACATACCGCTGCACCATATGGGATATACACACACACACACACTCATTCTCTAAATCTCTCTCACACACACATTCTCTCTCTCTCACACACACGCACTCTCTTTCTCACGCATGCAAACAAACACACACACGCACACACACATGTGCGCGCACACTTACTCACACACACACACACACACACACACACACAGACACACACACACAAATAGGCAGCGGGACTACCAGCTAGATTCACATGACCTTGCGGACAAAGTTACGGAGGTAGAACTTGTTTTCATGACGACACTTGGACACAAGTATTTCTGTATTATTATTTTATCTCTTTTCAACCAATCCACAAGCCAAGAAGAGATGCGTAGACGGAAGAACCGTACTCTTGGTGATACTGATCGCAAACATAATTAATTCCTCCAGGCCATTGAGCACGCAATACTAAACCTTATCTAACCAAAGTTCTTGTCAAAGCAGCATGCCAGTTCAAGAACATCTCGTCAGACATACATATCGATACATGTCTGGTGCACTTTCACTAAAAAGCAGGCATCGCAGGCTACATTCGCACCAGTAATCACAAGAAGTTGTAGTGAGTGAATATTTCTATAAAATTAAAAATTAGAAGGAAAATACGTAATGGACAAATGAAGGTGTGGAGGATCGCCCAAAAACACTGACAAGGAGACAGTAAATGGTACACAGTACTCGCATGCATGTACTTATAATACACGATATAGCAGCACAACGAGAAAGACCATGTACCATAATGTTACTGTAAAAGCCATATATATAACGAAGTGCGAACTCTAACGAGTTAACGAGGAGAAATCTGTCGTTAAAATAGAAATCGTTATACAGAAATCAATACCCCCGAAGGATGTACCCAGAGTGCTGACCGTGCTCAACACCACAAAGGCAGAGCGCAATACACAACAGAACGTTCTGTTGTGTACAGAAATCAATACACTACTGTACTATTGAGCGTTGAGAATGAGTGAGAATCGTTACCTTTGGGACACGTAAACTAGTTAATTTTGGGAAATCGTTATATATGCGCCTCGTTAGAATAATGGTTTTTACAGTACATCAATATAATTATTTTACAGAGTTATTTTGGGAGTAGGAATGAAGATGTGTTCGAAGCAGTAAACTGCGTAATCACTACGTTGGGAGCCAGAATACAGTTTCCTGCAGTCAAAACAAGACACTCACACTTCTCTGGTCTAGTTCGCCATTCTTATCGATAACATGACTTGATTCAATTTCAAGTTTACGATGGTTCTTGAGAATGGATCAATGATGTCTTGAATAGTGTCTTCCCTGAACGACTTTAACTGCGAGGCAGTTTCAGTTTCAACAAGCTGGACATTGTCAAGTTTTCTGTGGAGTCTTCCACAAGAAAGACAGAGCTACACACACGAAGGTGCTTGATGTACTCAGTACCTTCTTGGAGATGAACATAATATAAAAGAATTATTTTCTTTTCCATCTTCATTATTTTCATTTCCATCTTCATCATATTTTCGTCTCTGCATCGTCGACGATGTCCACTTCTGATTCCGTAATCTTGTCACCCATCCTCTCCAAAAACACAAAGCGAGTGCTACTCAGTTGTATGCTGGATCAGTTGAAGTCAGTCTCCGTGCTAGCAAGATCGGCATGAAAAACATTACATGACAGAAAATATTCCGAAATAGCTTTTCTGAACGACGAAGTCACTTAGTTTGGTCACGGGGATCGTGATCGGTCATCGAGACGTGACTGCTCACTGAGTCCTACACCGTACACGATCCCCGTGACCAATCAAACAGTCACAAATCCCCGAAGAGCAGTCGTAAAGTCACACACCAGTTTGAATCCCGATGACCAGTCACAAACAGCCGCGACTTTCTCTGTGAGTGTGAACCATGGTCACAGGGCCCACGTCAAAATATTACGACTCAACTGTAGACATTCACGCGATCAGCATAATTACTAGTACTTTTTTCCTTCAGTTCACAGGTTTCAGAAGTGAGCAAGAAAGATTTCGATCAACTCTCGATCTCCGCGTAGTTTACTTGTAGCTCGAGTCTGGTGTGTGTGGGCTCCTCTCCAAAACGAAGGGTGGTCGAAAATCTTGCAGGCTTCAGATAGAATCTCTTTTGAGAGGACGTTCTGGCTAGTAGATTGTGCTATTCATCATCTTTGAAGAACAAACTTCGACGTTCAGAAAAGCTATTTCGGAATATTTTCAGTCAAGTAATTTTTTGCATCCCGAGCTTGCTAGAACGGAGACTGATTTCAACTGATCCAGCATACAAGCAGCACTCGCTTTGTGTTTTTGGAGAGGATGGGTGACAAGATTACGGAGTCAGAAGTGGACATCGTCGACGATGCAGAGACGAAAATATAATGAAGATGGAAAAGAAAATAATTCTTTTATATTATGTTCATCTCCAAGAAGGTACTGAGTACATCAAGCACCTTCGTGTGTGTAGCTCTGTCTTTCTTGTGGAAGACTCCACAGAAAAACAATGTCCAGCTTGTTGAAACTGAAACTGCCTCTCAGTTGAAGTCGTTCAGGGAAGACATCTATTCAAGACATCATTGATCCATTCTCAAGAACCATCGTAAGAAATTAAATCAAGTCATGTTATCGATAAGAATGGCGAACTAGACCAGAGAAGTGTGAGTGTCTTGTTTTGACAGCAGGAAACTTGTATTTCAATATTCTAGCTCAACGTAACGCTTACGCAGTTTACTGCTTCGAACACATCTTCATTCCTACTCCCAAAATAACTCTGTAAAATTTATTGATGTAACATTATGGTACCGATTGTCTTTCTCGTTGTGCTGCTATGACGTGTATTATAAGTACATGCATACGAGTACTGTGTACCGTTTACTGTCTCCTTGTCAGTGTTCTTGGGCGATCCTCCACACCTTCATTTGTCCATTAGGTATTTTCCTTATCCTTATTAATTTTATAGAAATATTCACTCACTACAACTTCTTGTGATTGCTGGTGCGAATGAGTGTATGTGTGTGTGTGTGTGTGTGTGTGTGTGTGTGTGTGTGTGTGTGTGTGTGTGTGTGTGTGTGTGTGTGTGTGTGTGTGTGTGTGTGTGTGTGTGTGTGTGTGTGTGTGTGTGTGTGTGTGTGAGAGCCAACCTGTTGGAAGGCTACCATCTTGCCAAAGCATTTGAAAGTTGGAGTAGTTTCGGCTCCACAATCCAGTGTGTCGTAACTATAATAGCTTTCATGGCTGAGGTTGTTGGTATGTCTGTTGGCTCTGGGTTCTCAGTACAGTCTGTATCGGCTATAGAGTGACCGGATATAAGAATTTATCACTCTTCTATATCGACCTCCACTAATTCTCGTGATCCTTGACTGGTCCTATATTACCCATATCGCCGCAATTCGCGATCGCGAAATTTAGACAGCGCGAAAAGGAGATTCATGAAAGGTTTAGCAAGAATGCCATTCTGCATTCGCAAAATTAAAACCTCGCAAACCTGTCCGGATTCGGAAAACGCGAACTAAAAACGCGAAAATTTCACGCTTTACAGTAGTCATGTACATTTGCATGCACAAAAAAACATTTTTCACTCACAAAGCTGTCCCTGCGGGAATTTGCGGAAAAAACTCTCGAAAACTTGCGCAAGAAATTGCGGCAGAAAACAACAAAAATGCGACGAAAAGTGCGGAATGATGCAGAACTTGCCAGGAATTCGCAGAATTATTTGCAGAAAATTGCGCATTTGGGTCAAATCACGAAATTTGTTGCATCGTATATCTACTCCGGAGTAGTACTAGTCATACTGTGCAAATAACGTACAGGATCATGGAAAGCACTGTGTGAAAAGTGCATGAAACATGTGAGATAGAGTGCAGAAAACAATAAAAAACACGGGAAATCGCGGATTTTGCTGAAAATCGCGGGTTTGGGCCAAAATCGCGAAATTTGTTGCATCCGTGGAATCGCGATTTCCTGGAGGGACAGACAAAGCAACTGTTCAGTACATGGCCCATGGGGTAGTGGTCTACCAGAGCAATCACACGCACCCTTACACACACTCACTGTACACACTCACTCACTGCACACACACACACACACACTCACTGTACACACATCCTTATACACACTCACTGTACACACTCACTGCACACACATACTCACTGTACACATATGTACCGTACTTACACGTACTCTACTCCCCACTCACTGCCCACGCACATACACTCATCCGCGTGCCACAACGAAAAAAACAGGTGTAAAGCAGGTACCGAGACATAAAAAACACACACACCTCTATGACCGATTCATGTAATGATAGACGGCGCACGGTACTGTCGTTTCTTTTCTCTAAGTCTAATACTAAGGACTATAGTCCATTTCAAAAAGATTAGCAATCAGGTTTTGGTCTTAAAAAGTATGAAGATAAGGGAAATTTGGACAACAAAGTACATAGAATGGCTTGTTAGGACACGGCAAATTGTTCTGTGAAGGTTTCGGAACAATTGGACCAGCCGTTAGGGAGTTAAAATTTCGGCCAGGTTTCCGGCCTTTTCCCATGATTTACAATTTGCCCTGGATGTCAGTATCGATTTTTTATCAAAACCCACGATTTATCCTTTCCTTTTTGGCCTTGTGGTTATGAATGCTGTCTGCTGACCATGAAGTTGTGAGTTCAAATCCCAAACTATCTTCAAGTCAAACTTTTTTTCATAGTTTTGGTGTTCACTCTGGTACAAAAAGTACAAGCCAAACTGAGAAGGTGGCTGCGCCAAACGACTTGTCTGCTTTTCTCAAAATGTCGTCGAAGTCACCATGGTCACACGGATAGCTTTGCCTAGTCATGGCTTTGGGAATGAGTCTGTGTCGATGTCGTTTTCGTCACATCGTGAGAGTAAATTGCATCGCAGCTCAAAGAAATTGGGCACGAAACGAATTGGGACCCATCCCGCTCGTCAACATTTACCACACTTTCGACATGTCCTCTCTGACTCCATGTCGATACGAGGAAAAACTCGTTTGTTGTCAACCAGACGTGCATGTACATGTACATGTACCGATGTGAGTGAGTTATCATTAATTTTTTCATGCTTTCGCGCGGATTATTTCTTCGAGTTCACAGTGAGTTTTTCCAGCCAGCTCTCGAGCGCGCATACGGTAAGACGGCAAACTCCCCGGGCGATCGCCAGGATTGCTAATCTTTTTGAAACTGACTGTAGTAGATCTACTATGAAAAAAATAAAAAAAGATGAGTTGTGGTGTTGTGTGGCTGTGAGTGGAAACAAAAACTGGAGCACTTGAAAACTGCAACTACCACGAGGAAAAACAAAGACCACGATGGCAGGTTCAACGGAGTTGCGCAGAACAAGAGCAAACGCATGAAAATATCTGTGAGTGAAAAATACGTTTTTTGCACTCTTTCGCTCCACTCAGCCGTGAAGAAACAAAACTTGAGCGATCAGTGTCATCACCCCCGCATGACCATGCCCATGGCACGTGATGATCGTGAACACCCAATTGCAGCGTGAGTCAGCGTCGCTCCTGGACGGTGAGAAAAGACGTCGAGGACCCTCGGTCATTCACAACGCTGCCACCTCCAAACCAGCTAGTCGCAAGCCTGCGGTGGGCACATTAGTACGAAATAGTGGATGCCCCTCATCAGTTGAGCTTGAGGAAGACTGTGCCTGAAGAGCACCACCTATATAGTGCTCTCCAGGCACAAACATCACCAGGGATACAAACTTACAGAGACGCTCCATTTCCAGTGCGACAAACACCTCGTGAACACCCGATAGCAGCGTGAGTCAATGTCGCTCCTGGACGGTGAGAACACTCACTCTGCTATCTGGTGTTCACGAGGTGTTTGTCGCGCTGGAAACGGAGCGTTTCGGTAAGTTTTTAAGTGGGGTGTTAGAGAAAAAGGAGTGAAAGACAAAAGCATTCTGCTCATAATTCCTAAATGTAACCAACACCTTGTTGTGTTGTGCTTGTTACAGCTAACTTCAACCAAGGCTGGCCAAAGTACACGTCACGATTGGTGATGACCACTCCCGATAATGGGCTTGTAAGCAAGACTGCTGAAATTCATTATCTAGTAGAGTGAAGACATTTAGATGAAATAGTGCCAGCTCCAGTGTGGGGAGCAAATCCTTTACTTTTAGATTATATCTGGAAATCCAGAAAAGGCGGGAAAGTAAATTTCTCCGATTTTGCTCAAAGGTTAATTAAGAGATGAGCATATGTGTGTACTAATCTGCTTATGATGTGCTCAGCTTGTTGGAATGTGTGTATACTAATCTGCTTATGATGTGCTCAGGTTGTTGGAATGTGGGCCCCATGTACGGTAACATCACCACTTGGGAATCTCACTATTACTAGCAACTATCCATTTGGGGACAATGCCACAATAGATATTGAGCTAGTTTCATCAATCACAACGGCACTGCCTGTGTACTTGAGAATTCCGTCATGGTCTGCCGCTACCAAAGTTGCTGTGAATGGTGCAGCCACTGCACATAGTCCAACTGCCGGTGAGTTGCCATCTTACTCTGGCCATTGTGCCCATGCTTGCTTGGTGCTGACAGCAGCAGCAATGGTGGTGTGACATAGGTGGTGATGGCGGTGTCGGAGGTCGGGCTGCTCCTTGTGCTTGACCCAGGACAAAAACCACAACTCGGAGGAGTATAAAAATAACAACTCGCATATGTCCTCGATTTCTGGCCATGCTTTGGAGAAGTGTGTCCCATTCCGGCGGAACAAATTAAAATTTGAATTGTAAAACTCTCGCATACAAAACAATGCAACTTATGGGGAACAGGTCGAGTGGCTCGAAGTTTTTGATCAAGAATCGTAGCGAAAGTTCACGTTGAGCGTGAGCCGCGGTCACTATGGTAATGATGACGTTTCAAGCCGCTGATGACGAGCAGCGGAGCAGCGGAGCCACAGTGGAACCCGGCCCTAATGAACGCGTGACAATGTGCAATTGCAGTAATTTCTCGCACAGCTCTGGACTCTTTGCATCTCAATCGGTTAACTCTGCGTCATTACACCCACACGTCATGAGCTGGCTGCACACCACGAGATCCACAGGAAACCCCCGAAGCAGGCAGGAAAAAAATGATTTTGAAAAGTTTGAACAAGTTAGTGTCGCGATCCAACTTTCAAGTGCGATAACGTTATCATTTTTTCTCCTATCGCAAAAACAATCACACCATTGAACAGCTTGCAGCTTCCTTTCACATAATTTCGATTTTGCAACAAGACTAAAAACAGTGGAGTTACAACCGTTTTACGGTACACACAAAATATCAGTCCATATGGACGGATGCACCTTCAAGTGTGTACGCATTTCTGGCATATTGTATAACCAGGAAATTAGTTTTATGTACTCCCTAAAACGGTGTATATAGACATCATTTCACACCCCTAGGTGAAAGCAGGACCTGACAATATCTGAGAACTGAATACCAACCCTCTCCTGGCATATATACCGCATGGTCGGCACCCCATCCTCATGTTGCCTGATGATTGCGAGAGCATGAAACTTGAAGTAGCAGCAAACATGCCTTGATTGTCCTTGTTGTTCTGTACTTCAAAGTATGTACTTTGTCATGATCTTCCATTTGCACAACACATTTTGAACTTGGCTGAGATTGTTTAAACTTTCGCATACTGAGTTTCAATCTCCTTACCCAACTTTTGGTGCCCATACTTATCGCCATAGCAACAGCACTTACCTAAAAAGCTTGCAAAGAAGGTCATGCAACAATGCAAGTGCGCATATTTGTAGGAGTGGCAAAGAGCAGTGTAAATTGCTTGCAGGTACTAGCAGTTACCCTGGTTACCTCTTCAGGTACATATCACAGCTATGTCACAGTGCTAAGGCTTATAGGGGGAAGTTTAAAAAACCACTTTGCCAACAAACTTGATCATCCCCCCCCCCCCCCGAGTATGTATTATAGCTGCTGTGTACTTTGCCAAAAGAACTTCTTTCCCTTTTCCAGGCCAGCTGTACAAGGTGTTATGCAATGCTGGACATTCATGTCAAATTGAGGTCATGTTTGATGCCGAGCTGCGACTGGAGAGGCGTTTCAATAATGCCGCAGCCATATACCGTGGGTAAGCAATTGCTGTAAACTTCTACAAGAAGGAAGAGTACCCCAAGAATCAGTTATGGGATTTCTCTCACACCTTTACACGCTAATAGGCTTATCACATGTCATGGTGGTACAGGGCGTTCCATGGAAACCCATTATTTCAATGTACTGATGAAAAAATCAAAAATTACACGCAAGCACAAAAGGACATCCGATGAGCACACAGTCTTGGATCTACTGAAGTAGTAGTCAGTACATGCAGTAGATCAGTGTTCATGGCCATGATTTAAAAAACTGAAGACGGAAGTGAAAATCAATGTACTGCAGCTACTAGTGCTTCATCCATCAAGGTGCCTGCGTTCTGCAAGCAGATGATTTGTGTTGCTCTACAGCGGACCACTGTAAGCTGTTGTGTACTTTTCAATTTTTTTAAACGAACCAAACCAAACTTCGATGCATATTGTGAGAGTTGAATGTCTAACGGGGCACAAAAGCTAACATTTTAACGAGAAAGAATCCACCGTTAACTCAAGAAACGTTACACGTATGTTATTCCTTCTATCGTCTGTAGTACTAGAGAAATAGAAGACAGGTGTGTGCTGGCAGGGTCGTTAAACTTTGCGCCGGTTAAGTGGGAGATTTTCGCAAATCGTTAAACTTTAGACTCGTCGCACTTTCAACTCTTACAGTACGTGTCAAGTACTGAGAATGCTATTTCTGAATCACGGGGCCAAAATCCTTGGATGTGCCTCAACCCTTTGAGCCCTACCATGGCATCCGTGGATTCCTACAGGGTTCGCGCAGACGTGCGCGATCAATCGCACCACATTCCCAGTATGCATTTCAAAATTATCTAATTTCACTCATCCGATTTGGAATAACTCCATCTTGGTCTCTGTGGAAAGCTACAGGTCTCCTTTCTCCAGATATCACCACTAAATGCACAACAGGGGCAACAGAACCGCCTTCATGGCTTTTGAGAGCTGCCCTATTGCGCCTGGCCGAGATACAGCACCCACATCCACAAATTCCATCGGTTCTGAAGTTGTATTCAAGGTGATTCAAGTCCTGCAGATGCCTGAACCTCAAGCGATTCATTTGGTCTACACTACGCATGCGGTATGCAACCATGAGTCACAGGGGAAGTCCCGTTTGAGCACTGCCGTGCTCGCCACGCAAGCAATTGGAAAAAAATTCAAGCGTATCCGTGTTTCGCATTTGGCGCTTAGTGATTCTTCATCACGCTATATCAAACGTCACATTGTTGGAAAGCTTATTATCTCAGCTTTCCAATGAGCCTTCATTCTTGGCGATCGAAGAAAGGGCAATGGAGTTACGACAATTTGAACAGTGATGTGTATGCACTGCACACACTGGCACAGTTGCATTCGTGCTTCGGATTTTAGGTCGTTTTTGAACACGATAATATCAAAAACACGGAACTCTACAACCGCTGCCGCACCCAACCCATCTCCAAGAAGATCGCAGCGAGGCGATGGAGCTTCCTGGGCAGGTCGCTCTCGATATTGCTGCTTCTGGTGCCTTGCGGGGAAGGAGAGACAGACTAAGAACAACACTGCTAACCACTCTCTCACTGAATTGTCGGGAGAAGCTCGGGCTTGTGCTTCTGTCGCGATCTAGCCTAGCCTAGCTTCGGGAGGTGGCAGGTGATAGATGCCAATGGAATTCATTGCGTAACAGTACTGTTAACTAGCTTGGCCATAATAATACTTCAGTAGGCCTATCCCTGATATGCTTGCCTGCCCACAGTTGTGTGCACGCATGCATTCTCGCCTGAAATGTCTACCGATGATGACAATAATTTAAAAAAAATCATGGACTGATCTGCTTTTTAGTGTTTGCACACTCTTGGCTGCTACTTTGGCACTTTTGTATTTTCCGTGCTGCTGCACTGTCCAAACCTGCACTAGCCGTATTAACTGTCGTACCCGCATGCCCACATACAATCCCTGGCTGCGCTTTGGAACTGTTTTCGTTGCCTATGTCCCCATCTCTCTTCCCTTTTTTTGCTGCCTGGCTCTCATTTATCTTTGCTTGCTTGCTTGTATTGCTGAGGGAACATATGCTGGTTTGTATTCGTTGGTCCCCATGGTGCTTGGGCCACGCGTACTCATCCTGCGGATATGTGCGAATAATAATAATAATAATAATAATAATTCAAAGGATCAGTCGGGGAAGTGAACTGCCTGAAAAGAGAAAAAAACGCCAGACCCACCAGGACTCGAACCTGAGACCCTGCTTGTCATGAGCAATGCTCTAACCATTGAGCTATGGGACCAGGCTGAACCTAGAAGGCGCTGACAAGTTTTTCACTCCAAAGGCAGCTCACAACACGTGCCACACATACTGATGGCACTTGGGTCTTTTTCCCTCCCCCAGGGGACCAACCACGGTCAGTTTCTGGAAACTACCAGAGGTGAAAGAAAGTGATTAAATTTGGAAAGGATTGGGAGAACTTCAAATTCAAAGGATCAGTCGGGGAAGTGAACTGCCTGAAAAGAGAAAAAAACGCCAGACCCACCAGGACTCGAACCTGGGACCCTGCTTGTCATGAGCAATGCTCTAACCACTGAGCTATGGGACCAACATATGGGACCAGTTCGAGTCCTGGTGGGTCTGGCGTTTTTTTTCTCTTTTCAGGCAGTTCACTTCCCCGACTGATCCTTTGAATTTGAAGTTCTCCCAATCCTTTCCAAATTTAATCACTTTCTTTCACCTCTGGTAGTTTCCAGAAACTGACCGTGGTTGGTCCCCTGGGGGAGGGAAAAAGACCCAAGTGCCATCAGTATGTGTGGCACGTGTTGTGAGCTGCCTTTGGAGTGAAAAACCTGTCAGCGCCTTCTAGGTTCAGCCTGGTCCCATAGCGCAGTGGTTAGAGCATTGCTCATGACAAGCAGGGTCCCAGGTTCGAGTCCTGGTGGGTCTGGCGTTTTTTCTCTTTTCAGGCAGTTCACTTCCCCGACTGATCCTTTGAATTTGAAGTTCTCCCAATCCTTTCCAAATAATAATAAATAAATTTTACGGTTCGCGTGAGACTCGGCTGGAAGCCGAGTTTTCCGCATCCGCCGTGGGAACGCCACCACCCTCTAGGATCAAAGGCGCAGATGCAGCGCCTAAACGGCGGGAGGTGAGTAGATCAGACCCACCACCAAGTGGTCAAAGACCGAAATCCCATTAGCTGCATCCATGTAATAATAATAATAATATTAATTTGAACACGAGTTAACTCGTGTGTGTACGGTTCGGTCTCAAAGGTTTAACGCAATAAATTGAGCGAGCTATGCACCCAGTACAAACACCATAAGCAAATCTTGTTGTCATGTACAATTATTCCTTTAACATTTTCGAGGCCATCGCATCAGAATGATTTACTGGCAAATAAAAATTAAACCATTAACTCAACATAAATACTCACAGTGCAAGTACTTCCTCTATTAACAAAAACTTTTTGATGGATTTTTGAGGAACTGGTTTGGGCACAAACTGCTGTGAAATGAATCACGGTCACTTTCTCGTCCTTCCATGGCATGCCATGAAAGAGATGCGATGCAAGGAAAGCGACTTTCACAATAAACCATGCGGAATCGATGGTTGTGCTGTGGCAACATAGGTGATGACAGCCATGGCGAGCGGAACTGAACGGCGACTTCTCCGAGGACATAATGCGTCGCCTGGTCTCTCTAGCACTGAGTTGGAGAGTGATAGAGAGCGATGGCATGGAGCAGCGTGCCCACACAATGAGCGAGCGAACAAGCAGCTGCTCCGATTGCGCGGCGCAATGAAAATGATTCTGAGTTCGAGTTCTTGTTCAACCTGCACAAAGCCCAGATTTGAATGCTGATGACCATGCATTCATTAGAAGACTGCAGTCCGATGTGATTCTCATGGCTAAGGACTTGCTAGCCGCTGCTGTTCAGTGCTGGTAGGAGTATCCATTAAAGAAAATCGAATCAATTTGGCTGTGCCTTTACTTCTCGTTTTGCGGAGTTCTGGAGAGTGGAGGTGAAATCAGGGAGTCATGATGAGGGCTGAAACGATTATGATGATAACTCGGATATCGATCGTTATGGGCGAAATCGATAATCTTTAGCAATCTCTAACGATTATTGTATTACTCAAAACAAGCCGGTACGCACTACATACACGGAGTACACCATGGAGGAGTGCAGTGTCCGAGTCTATCCCATGCTGTGGTAAAAGTGTGTGATCCCCGAGCTCTAAAGCTAATAAGGGACTCATTCAGTGTACCTGGAAGCACAAAACTGCAGTCCCGGTACCTGCTGCTGGGAAACTTTGTGCTACTGATATAATGAAAAATAATAGGCAATGTGCATGTACCAGGTGGTTGAAAATTACAAGCCCAGTCTCTAGTAGAAGCCAAGTCTCTAATATAAGCCCGGGGTCCGGACTGGTTGAAAAGATATAAGCGCGGGGCTTATAATGGAGATAATACGGTATAATGTTCACTGGTTTGAGGGAAAGACACAAACGGGAAAATACGGTATAAGTGACTAGTTATGACTATTAAACAGTCCACCAAGGTAACGAAATAGTATCCAGTCAGATAGTGCGACAACAAGGCACAAAACTGACAAGGATATTGAGACATTCGACTAGTAACTTATACGTCCTTCTCTCTACATTTCACTATTGCCTCAACATCCGAGTTATCTTTTTGTTCTAAATCCCCCTTAGCTCTGCTGCCAAGGGCAGGTACTTGCTAATTTTCTCCTGCACCTTCGTACATCTCATTGACCTTGTGGTCCAATGAGACACTGACATCCAAGAATAGTGCCCGATCATTCAGAACCAGCTCCAGGTCTGGTCTGTTAGCTTTTATCACTCAATCTGTGGAGATGATGTGGTCCATATTTTCTCCGGGTGAATCACATACACGGCAGTGGTCCACGGCATCATGCCTCTTGTTAATATGGCGCATAGTGTTCCTAGTGGCAATCACCTGAATCACCGAAAAGTTGACGGTACGGTCTGTTATGTAATAATGTGCTGTAGAGCTCTGCTGTATGGCATGACCATGATAGAGGACTACACAGTGCTACGACAATATCAATTTGAGTCCAAAGACTATCAGGTAAGCAACCCATGGACTGGGTAACTACACACACACACACACACACACACACACACACACACACACACACACACACACACACACACACACACACACACACACACACACACACACACACACACATGCACATACATACACACACACACACACACACACACACACACACACACACACACACACAAATACACACACACACACACACTTGTACTTGTTGATCACTGCCAAAACTGGTCACGTGGGTCTCCCCAGGAGAGGGGAGAGAGAGACTCAAAAGGAATCTTGGAAAGGTGACTCATTTGGCTATTGAACTCTGTGTGGACTTGAAAAATGATCCCACTTATCGGCTCACCACACCTCAGTAAGTGGGTGAGGACAAGGTGCAGAAAAAGGATTGACAGCATCAGGGTATCCGACCCGGGATCCAACTGCAGTTACCCCTGCCCCCAGTGAAGGTAATACTTGCTACTAGTGTGGGTGGCTAAATCAGAGTGGATCTGATATAAGCTTCACCGGCACCATAAATTTCACAAGAGTTAATCTAGCCAGAAGCAGTCCATGGTTAACAGGTATGTACACTTCAAATAGAAAGTATATGAACCCTGAAACGAACAAAGGTGGTAGGTACAACGTTACACCTTCAAGCAGCCGAGCCCGTTGGCAATAGACCCAACACAATCAGGCATAAGTGTACCCACCAACCGAACTAACTGGCACACACACACACACACACACACACACACACACACACACACACACACACACACACACATACACATGCACATGCACACGCACACATACATACATTCACACACACACGCACACACACACACACACACACACACACACACACACACACACACACACACATACACACATATGCGCACTCCTCACTCCTGCTCATAGATGAAGCAATGATAGCAAATAAGCTATGTTAGACATAGAACCTTGTGCTGTGACTACAGCATTCAACAACTTGCAAGGCTGATGACCGCCACTAATTTTAGCCTATATAACTTTGAATTTCTTCAAGTCATTTTTGTGGTCTTGGTGTGCCTAGGCTTGGCCCGTACTGTTCTTGGCACAGTTCGTAGCTAGTCAGATGTTCCGTGACGTTGTTTAGACGCTAATTGTCACTGCCCGGCACATATCCAACTGTTGCGGTTTCCATTTTTCTTTCTTCCCTTCTTGCTATCATTGTTAGATATCACACACTTCCATTTGTCAGTTCCTTTAGTTGTTATTTCTCAAACTCTGGTTCCTATAGTGATTGGATTAATTCATAGTTAGATATGGGTGCGGATGAAAGACCATTTTTCTCACCAACACGATGCATTTTCTTTTCTGTCTGTCTTGTCTATGACCAGGTTACAGGGAAATCAGCTTGGAACTATGCTCTCCATTTGGCCAGTGACACAGATTTGAAGAGTGCACTGACCTTTATCCAAGGTATCATGCCTCTCACCGCTAGTCCATACCATCTTGCGACTGTTCCCGTACACTTGCTTGCAAAGGTAATCTCTGCAGTGGAAAAAGAAACTCTCCGTCTAGTTTTCTATATCTAGTCCGGTCTTTGTGCACAGTAACTACGGCAAATTGACTCCCTGAGTACACCATTGTTGCACTATCCAGCCGACCACACACATTTCTCACCCAACAAGAGGTTCCTTACAAGTTCTGAATCCTTTCTGACAGCTGTTTTGGTCATTGAGACCTCATCAGAGAAGTTGAATGATACTGTTGGATGGCTGGAAAGATATCATATATTCGTATAAATTCCTTGGAACTCAGAATAAGACGTACCCCCCTCAGGGAGTGGAAAAAGAAGTACTTACTATCTGAGGCACTTCTTATCTAAAGTTGAGTCCTGCTGCCCCACCAATACAATACATGTGTTGGTCGGGATTCACAGAAGCTTTTTTTGCGATGCGATGGGCGATGCGACGCGATTTGCGATGGAGGCGTGCGATGCGAACTCGCGAAATACCATTCACAGAAGAAGTCAGCGATGAGACAACGCCTTGCTGATTTGGCGCGAAGTTCAATACAGGTGGGGATGTCACCATGGTATTCGCGCAGTTTGGTACAACTTGTACAAATTTACAGGCAACTCTTGAACCTTTGTGCAGCTTTGCTGTAGAAAAGGTCAAAATCGTACGCCAAATCGCTTGCGCATCGCACAAGTTGAGCCAAACTCAACTTCTGCGATGGCTCAGATGCGGCAGTTGCATGTGGCACGAGATGGCTGCGATTTGGGGATTTCCCGGTTTCGCAGCCGTCGCATCGCGTGTCGCATCGCAAAAATGCTTCTGTGAATCCCGCTTGAGGTGCCTCCTCCCGTACGTTCTACAACCTTTTCCAAGCTGCCCTGCATGCACCCTCGTACTCACCTTTTGTCTCCTTTGGTCACCTTCTGTTCCGTTGGCCTGGGTAGCTACTTGCACGCCCATATTGCCATAGCTATCCAGGCCCTTTATCTTGCCGCCCTCACTCGATCTCTCTCTCTTCCACAATGTAGTCGTTTCCGGTTCGTCTTTGTCTCCGTCCCTTCGTCTATAATAAATGTCGTTCCACTCACCTACCTGTTCCCGTCGTCCGTTGTGTCTGGGGAGTATGACTCCTATTCGTACCCAACATTGGTGCCTGACTCTCGCTCGATGCCCACGACCCTGAATTCCGTCCCAGTTGTCCTCAACCGCCATTTGTCTCGTCAGTAACCTCATCTCGTTTCCAACCTTGTCTCGTCTATGTCAACCTCGTCTCGTCCATGTCAACCTCGTTTCGTCTATGTCAACCTTGTCTCGTCCAAGTCATGCAGGTCGGCTATTTTCATTAGTTCTTTTTTTTCCATCCGTCCTTCTTCGTCAAATTTATTTCAACAGTTCTGTTCAATAAGATAACCCGATGTTTCAAACACAGCTTGCGCGTCTCATCATGTTTGTCACCCGTCACGGAATTCTTCCGCTGCTCTCTGCCAACGCCACACCATTATTCCCGTCGCCACCCGCTACAATTTCAAAGTCTTTACCCCTCTTCCATCCACAGTGGCATGGCTAGCTCTATACATACGTTCATCAGCAGGAATATCTGCTTGAAGTTTCATATTCCTGTGTTCTGGAGTGCTCACATACATACATTTTTATTGAATGAGGTGCGTTAGTATTCAGTTGCTGTGTGTCTGTGTCTACGTGCGTGTGACCTCTGCTCATTCAGGGGCAGCTACTTTCCAACTGGAAATTGGCCCACAATGCTGCTGCTGCACCGCCACAAAGTCCACTGAAGAACAACGGCAGCGATGGACTGGACGATATTGTCCTAGTGCCGTATGGTTCTACCTGTCTTCGTATGGCTGAAATGCCAACAGTCACACTCACATAGTCATGTTGCCTGCTGGCATCTATGATCCGGCCCGTCCGTGCCCATCCTAGGATGGGTAGGGGGATGCCGATCTTAGGATCAGATCGGGTTCGATCGATGGAAATCCCGCGCGTGGACCCTTTTTTCACGTGGAATTGTTTTGTCTTTCGTTTTCCCGCTTGTCAATATAAAAACGTGCTTTTATAAATTTATATTGGTGCACCTCAAGTCGATCAATCCGAGAATGGGCTACCTCAGTGCCCAACCTAGGATGGGCATTAGCTATTTTGCCCATCTTAGGATGGGTAAAATCCTTGGACGGGACGGAACAGCTACATTCTGTGTGGTGATATATAAAATTATGGAAATCTCTACGTGCCTTGATGACATTGTACTGACAGTGTACTTCTTACTACTGTATTGTCTGTATTGTCTGTATTGTCTGTATTGTCTGTATAGCAATTCTCAGCTCTTTCTTATGTCCTGTTTTCTTTCTTCAGACATTTTCCGTTTGCTATTTTCCTCAATTTCAAATCTTGTAGGACGCATCACGCAGCTTAAAGTAAAAAAATTGGTTTGTGAGCAACACTGGCTCACACTCAATCACTGCTTTTCACACATGTGAAAAGCAGTGATTGAGTGTGAGCCAGTGTTGCTCACAAACCAAATTATTTTCCTCAAATTAATTAATAATTATTGTGTCCTTGGTAAATGTTCGTGCAGTAAACGAACTGAGGTGGCAAGCAAAATAGGCAGTCATTGGATGAAGTATTTCCTTTTTGATCACAACTTGCCAACGTTTTGCGTACACCAAACGATGCATTTTTAGGAGAAAATTAGGGGGGGAGTCAAAGATAAATCAACACAGAAACTGCGTAACTCGGACGGGTCTGACTAAAGCTGAAAATAAGGCTATATCCAAGTTTGAAGCTTTTCGCCCAAGATTCCAGCCTTTACTTTCAAATCAATTGCAACAGGGCCAAATTTTCTCAGTCACTGCTTGCGGGTACCAGCGGCGTGCCAGCAAATCGAAAATAAACCTGGGCACTCATATTGCAGCTGGGTCCAGGTATACAGAGGCACATTCAAAACGACAGCTGGGCACAAGTCGCCAAAAATTTAATTGACAATTTCAAACCTCTCTGGCCATTAACTTTTAAACAGACCCACATATGACAGTGACAATCAGGCCTGATTTCCTCGAATAGGTATACAAAGTTAATACAACAAACAAAAGAGCCACATTGCTATACGGGCGGCCACCCGTTTTATTTTTATTTCTCGTCAGTGGTCACCCACGCGCATACGATTCAGGAGTCTGAAAGAAGAAGAAAAAAGAACAAAACTGTGCTGCACTGTGGCATGGGGACCAGCACATAAGTATGCATTAGGCCACACGTTTTTATTTCTATGTTTCTCGTCACCCGAAAACCTAAAATCGTATGCAAGAGGTGGACAAAAAGTTTACTAGACCTTTGCCTTTGGTCATACTAAAATCGACCAATACACCATGTAAAATAGCATCCAAAGTAGGTAGGGTTAGTTTAATAGCAAAACCGGTAACTTATAAAACCTACAATGTACGTGCGTGATAGGAGCTTCTGTGCATATGAAGCATCATGATTGTGTCCCGCAGGTAGGCCCCCGTGTAATATGCCGGCATTTTTTTAGCATTTTCGGTACAATCCGCGAACCCAGCACTTTGGGCTCGTGATGCAGCATTTTGGGGGAAACGGAGCACTTGGCCGTTGTGTATCAAAATTGAGAGAAGAAAAACTGCCCAAACAAGAACGTCACTTCCGCATTACGTGGGTTAGCTTCTTGTTGAGTAGTTTATGAATTGTTTACCATGGCAGCCTCGAGCAAGTCTCTTATTCAGTATTTTCTGATTCCCTGGTTTTGACGGCGTGTGCTGAGGATGACAAAAAAGTGAGCATTTTCCGAGAATTTTCGGCAAGGTTTGGGAGCATTTTCGGCAAGGTTTACGAGAATTTCCCAAAAGCATTTTCGGCAAAGTTTCGGGCATATTACACCGGGGCCTACCGTAGTTCCGCGCATATAAGCCCATGGGCCTATATCCGGATATAAGCCCACCTCCGTATATAGGCCCATGGGCTAATAAACAGACCCAAACACCGTAGTACAGCATGTCAGTGCAGACTACATTACCAGTACCGGTACCTATGGTAGGCGGACAACCGCGCACGGACTTGTACTTTTTCGCGTGCCAGCTGCCTTCAAAATTCGAATATAGGCCCAGGGCTAAAAAATGAACCATTATTACTGATTTCTTTTCCCGGAAAATGCATTATTTCGTATATTAGCCCTAGGGCTTATATGCGCGGAACTACGGTACCCGCAGCTGCGCAGGCCAGGCCAGGGTGCACGTGTACCGGTATACAGACTGTCATGTATGTGCATGACGATTGTGCTGGTCCCCACATGCACACAGGCACAGTTCAGCACAGTTTTTTTTCTTTTTTCTTTTTTTTTCTTCCAGACTCCTGCGCATGCGGGTGACGAGAAACACAGAAATAAAAACGTGTGGCCTTCTTGAAGTAAGTACTAAGTAGTTCTTCTGCACCCTGGCGCATGCGCATGGCATGGCCTGGCCTGCACGACACAGTCATGATCATGATGAGGCGAGGTAGATCTATTTACATAGTATCAGTAGTACATTATTACTACTACACAGTCTGCAGTAGCTAGGTTGGCAGTTTTTGTTGTGCGATCTAGCTGCACGTGCGCAGACGCTCCTACCACGTAGGTCTAATATTAAAGGGGAAGTATACCCTAAAATCAAATTTTCACCAGTTGTAGTCTTCTGGGTGCTGAGTCGAATGGTCTTGGTCCGAGGAAGCTGCGACGCTCCCTTCCTACTTGAATCCCAATCGAACTCGCGCACTTCCACCGAAACTGGGTGACTGCGCCCTACTAGATGGGGATTTGTATGCAAAATGTCACTAAAAGCGCCATTTCGTTCTTATAAAAGCACGGATGACCGCGATTGGCCCATATGTTGTAGTCTTTTGGACGCTGAGTCGACTGGTTTTGGTCCGAAAAGGCTGCGATGCAGCGTTCCTCCTTTATTCCCAATCGAACATGGTTGAACAAGCGGTCACGTGCTCCTGGGTGCCCAAATCACCTGGTCACCGCGCCAGCAGGCGACAACTTTCACACCAAGGTTCAACTCGAGTTCAACTCGAGTGACAGGACTGCACCCAAAAAAGGTCAAACAGGCTAGTAAGTTGTACCCTGCAGGCACGGTGACCAGGTGACTGGTGTACGCAGGAGCACGTGACCGCTTGTTCAACCATGTTCGATTGGGAATAAAGGAGGAACGCTGCATCGCAGCCTTTTCGGACCAAAACCAGTCGACTCAGCGTCCAAAAGACTACAACATATGGGCCAATCGCGGTCATCCGTGCTTTTATAAGAACGAAATGGCGCTTTTAGTGACATTTTGCATACAAATCCCCATCTAGTAGGGCGCAGTCACCCAGTTTCGGTGGAAGTGCGCGAGTTCGATTGGGATTCAAGTAGGAAGGGAGCGCCTCAGCTTCCTCGGACCAAGACCATTCGACTCAGCACCCCGAAGACTACAACTGGTGAAAATTTGATTTTAGGGTATACTTCCCCTTTAATAATACTGTACTAATACTAGATAGTTATGGTTAGCATTTTATCGTTCACGCTAAATCCAACGGTACTGGTACCCAACACCCAAAATGCCGTCGGTTTGGTATCGTTTCGACGATAGAAAGCTCTGTTCAGCGGCAGCGGGAGAGCGAAACAGTAAGATTCCAACTAGGGTTACGTCACAAGTCGATCGTTGTGTCAGAAACCGAAATGCTAACCATGTCTTGAAAACACACAAAAAGTGGTCCAGGCCGACGGTTGAAGTTAGCGTGAATGGCAAAACGAATGCTAACCATGTCTGATAACTAGTTACTTTGGATGCTATATGCATGCTATTTTACAAGTCGGTGTATTGGTCGATTTTAGTATGACCCCACCAAGGTCTTGTAAAAAAAAATTCCGTCATTTTTTTATTTCTTCCACCTCTCGAGCTAGCGAGCTCTCGTATACGATTAATTTTAGAATTTCGGGTGACGAAAAACATAGAAACAAAAACGTGTGGCCTTATACGACTCCTTGCCGCGCCCAAGGGCCCAGTAGCGCCAACGTCGTTACGTCAGTCGATAGTAAGCTCGTACAGTGCTGGCAACTCAAATCCGACCCCCTGGCCTGGGCGGCGCGTTCACTTTCTAGCGGCCTCTATTTCGGGTCTTTGCGATGTGAGCGCACCAGTGAGGGGGTCGGATTTCAGTTGCCAGCACTGTAAGTAACCCGTAGATCTACCGCTCTTGCATATCTACTCGGGCTCTACAGTACGACTACACTACACAGTCTACACTACAGACAATCATCGGCCTGTTGGTGTTCACACTATCACACAGTCAGTGGCAGTGCTAGCGCAGACCAATGCCCCATTCTTTTATTTGCACGGCTCGTCAAACTGTTTAGTATACATAATAATTATTATCATTATACTTTCAGTCTTTGTTGCAACCCAGTCAGAAAAGCTTCCTGTTTATTATTGTGATGACTCCCTGGCCCTGGTGAGAACTGTTTCGTCCTAGTGTAATGACCATGATGACGTGACACTGATATAGTGATAGTGATACCCAGTGGTATCAGTACAGTGGTGTCACTGTCAGTAGCTGACTTACTTTTTGGCTTTAGCTTGCAGAATAAAGAGAGGGCTTCTTGCTGTCCTGGCGCTCGCGTTTGTGAAAAAATATCTTTCAGTTTATAGACTACCTTACCGCAGAAGACTTCAAATTTTCTGTCAGAACCGTTGCTGAGAGGTATTCAAGGCAGTAGCAGAAAAGGTCTTTCTGTGAAGAATTGTCAGTCGCCACGAAAAGAGCTCGTGTTGAAATTACCCTTTTGACTTTCTGACTTCCAGGCAAGGAAGGCCTCTAGCGGGCAGGCCATTTCAACAGGCTCTGGCACTAGCTAGCAGACGTGGAAGTAGTTATGCACCACGTCCTGGTGCCCTCAGTCGTTCCTGCCAAGCCGTTGTTCGCTATGCTTCGCTACGCATGGACACCCAAAACAGTGATATTATCAATTAGTGCTATTGCAAGTCTCAATAGCCGAGGTCAGCTGCAGGGTGGAGGAACCTGTCTGGAATACGCTAGGAATTGGAAGACCACTATGTTTGAATCTTCAATGCCGGGAGTACAGCTATCATCAGTACTTTCAAGGTTGCAGACGCGCTGAAGGAATGCGGAGGCAACGGTGAGGTCGGATAGGCAAGAATGACCTTACACGATAAAATTAGACAGTTTTTGGATGAAATATTAATTTTCCTTTTAGTTTTGACTCGGATGGAGAGCCAAGGATTAAAAATCAGAAGCAAAGACGTACCGGTTCCTGCACGAGTACGAGGGCAGTACCGAAGAATCCAGCCCACGCCGCGTGTCTGCCGCAAGGGCTGGATGAACAGAGGTACTACCCGAGTATGAGTGACTGGAACGTGTTTCCCGGCTGCTCCCAAGCCAAAGACAGTTAGGTGATCGTGTGAGGTACATGAACCATTCTGTGACTAGAGATATAGTATGAGCTGAGAGTGTGAGCTGAGAGTATGAGCTGAGAGTGCGAGCTGAGAGTGCGAGCTGAGAGTGCGAGCTGAGAGTGCGAGCTGAGAGTGCGAGCTGAGAGTGCGAGCTGAGAGTGCGAGCTGAGAGTGCGAGCTGAGAGTGCGAGCTGAGAGTGCGAGCTGAGAGTGCGAGCTGAGAGTGCGAGCTGAGAGTGCGAGCTGAGAGTGCGAGCTGAGAGTGCGAGCTGAGAGTGCGAGCTGAGAGTGCGAGCTGAGAGTGTGAGCTGAGAGTGTGAGCTGAGAGTGTGAGCTGAGAGTGTGAGCTGAGAGTGTGAGCTGAGAGTGACTTCAACAACCATGTACGACTACAGTACAGTGGAGTCGCGCGTCCAACAATGTCAACAATGTTGTTTCCTAGGGCTTAGCCTGGGGCGTTCTTTTGTCTGCAATCTGGCTGTGCTCCTATAGCACATTCTTAGAAACAATTCTTACTGGATCATATGTATCCCAAAGGTTCTTACTGGATCGTATGTATCCCAAAGGCTGCCGGAAAACCAACACTGCCGTTCTTAACTTTAGGCTGTGGCGTTCTTAGCATTTCAGGCTGGACGTTCTTGGGCTCAAGGTTCTGCAGCGCGCGACTCGACTGTACATGTACTTTCAGGGCAGAAGCGACCCAATCAAGCTGGTCACTGAAATGGTAGACTCATTTCGTTCCTGCCCGTCGTGAAGTGACGATGGGCAGTGGATTCTGGTCCCTGCCCGTTGTCAAATGATGACGGACAGTGGAACCAGTTCCATCACCGTTCAGCAGGCAGGACCGAGCTTTCCACCCCAAGGTGACAGTCATACGACATACGGGAATCATCCGCAAGGTTTACAAGTTACCTGTAGTTACCCGTTGTTGTCCAACACTGGCAATTATAAGAATGATATTGATGAGTCATAACGTGCAGCAGTTAGCACAATAATGACTGCTGTGGTACTGACATTCAACAACCTGACGCTTGCTTGTCTACGATACATGTGAGCCTCCCAAGCTGGGTGGTTGTAGTTTCGCGTTTTTGGAGTGAGCTGTGACTGTCCTGTGCCGTGGTCCTTGGTCTTTTGTCATCAGATACTCAAAGCTAACATTCCTGGCTCGCTGTAATGTTTAGCTTGTTTTCATCCTGAGTGCACTCGCCTTCCCCTTTCTCACGTTATTTCATAAATTGGAGCCTTTCGAATTGGAACGCTGTTGGCGTGCGCATTCAAGACGTGATGGAGCTAAACGTCAGGTCGTTGATTGTCAGTACCACGGCAGTCATTATTGTGCTACTTGTTGGAAGTTATGACTCATCAATACCATGCTTATTATTGCCAGTATTGGACAACTACGGGTAACTTGTAAACAATTGATCCTTTCTTCTTAATTTTAGGTCACTACTAATTTAGACGTTTTGGGTATTCTAGTCTAGTAGACGAAATGCATTTCGAGTGAAAATTACTAGGCAACGGAATCATGATGACCAAATATCAACGAGACCGTGATGGGCCGAATTTACGATTTCACTCAAAGTTGGCTCCTGTTATCCCTGGGTGGACTTCGTTTACCCACTATGACAGTTTGGTACAGAGATCAAAAGTCCCCAGATATTGGGCAAAATCAAAGAAATCAACAAAAATACGCACTGAAACAACTTCAAACAAGGTGCAAGAACTAGACGGCACTGCTGCTCACACCAACACAGCACAGTCAAACCAACTATGTTCGCACACAGATTCAAGTTATCTAGTAATGTTTAACCCTCTAACTGGCAACTTGCTGAGTTCCTCGAACGAATCAACAATTTGGCCTTTCCAAAAGCAGCCATAACAAAAGCCATCTTCAAGGGCCAGTAGCAGCGAGGTTACGTCCTGAAATTTGGGGTGGTCCACCACCATAGTCTACTACAACATGTCCCCAATCGCAAGCAAATGGCCTTGAAAATAGCTAGCCACTAGAAAATCCTTTGGGGAAATAATCAAATTTGGAACTCTCCAACAGCCATGCTCTACGCGAATTCATCCTCGCGGCAGATCAGCCAATACGGAGCACCTCCATATGCCTTTTCGCTCGGCTACCAGTACTGAGAGATCATGGGGAATAATTTTGCAGAAACTCAAAATGACCGGAAATGACCAAATTGTTACTTGCTACCCGTAATTTGTGTCCAACACATTACTTCAGAAGTATAAGCAATATGTTGTGTAGTCAGAATGTACAACACATTACTTCAGACTGAGTATAAACAATATGTTGTGTAGTCAGAATGTACAACAGGTAGCACAACACTGACTGATGTCATACTGACATTCAACGACCTGAGCAGTTTAAAGTTGTTGCACCTTCTGACTACACAACGTTTTACTTGTATCTGTTAGTGTCGGACACAAACTCCGAAACTCAGATGAAATCGCCACAAAACATCACTTGCTGGACAACAGCCCGACATGATGAGAAAGAAGACCTGGTCAACATCAGCGAATCAGCAAGGACTGCAACAGTAGCGCAAGATGGGCCAGAAATTTCTCCTGTAGGTGTGCTGGGTAGCTAGTGCACACGAGTTTCACATGCGAATCAATGTCACGCAATACAAGTAGGAAATCACGACATAGCAGTCCTACACTTGAGCTTGTCTTGCGAGTTGGAACCAAGAATCGAAAAAGAATGTACTCTTCGGGGCGCGGCCCTCTGGGGCCTGAGAAAGGCATGATTATATTCGCGCATGCACACCAAGTACGTGTGCTCATAACAACCGAACGGAAATTTTGAACTGGTTAGTGTGAGCATGGCTTGCATGTGAAAACTCACGTGCAGTAGAAGCCCAGTACACAGGAAATACTTTCTGGGCGATCTTGTGCTACTGTTACAGTCCTTGCTGATCTGTTGCGTGGACCAGGACTTCTTTCTTGTCATGTTGTGAAGTTCAGCAAGTGAACACTTTGTGGTGGCTTCATTTGAGTTTCTAAGAAAACAAGGATTATTCTCATGATGTCTCAGTCCTGGCAATTGAGCGAAAAGGCATATAGAGGTGCTTCGTGTGTGCTTCTCCGCCGTGACGTAGGATTCGGCTAATGCATGGCCGTTAGAGAGTTCAAAATTTGATTATTTCACAAGTGATTTTAAGTGGATTACTTCGTTCAAGGCCATGTGTTGTAGCTTGGGGATATGTTGTAGCTTGGGGAGATGTTGGCGCTTGGGGAGATGTTGGCGCTTGGGGAGATGTTGGCGCTTGGGGAGATGTTGGCGCTTGGGGAGATGTTGGCGCTTGGGGAGATGTTGGCGCTTGGGGAGATGTTGGCGCTTGGGGAGATGTTGGCGCTTGGGGAGATGTTGGCGCTTGGGGAGATGTTGGCGCTTGGGGAGATGTTGGCGCTTGGGGAGATGTTGGCGCTTGGGGAGATGTTGGCGCTTGGGGAAATGTTGACGCTTGGGGAGATGTTGGCGCTTGGGGAGATGTTGGCGCTTGGGGAGATGTTGTAGCTTGGGGAGATGTTGGCGCTTGGGGAGATGTTGTAGCAGACTATGGGCCTACGTTATGGCTGCCTTTGGACAGGCTGAATTGATCGATTCGTTAGAGGGACTCAGCAAGTTGCTAGTCTCCAAATGGATGGCTAAACATTACTGGGTAACTTGGATCTGTGGGCAAGCATAGATGGTTTGGCTGCACTGTATTGTTGTGAGTAGCAGTTACCCCTCGCTCTGGTACCTCTATTCAGTGCATATTTTAGTCGATTTATATAATTTTGCCAAATATCCGAGGATATTGGTCCGTGGACCAACTGTTGTAGTGGGTGATTGCGGTCCACCCAGGGATAAGATGTCCTTTGTTATTAGGTTGTTACAGACATGGAATCCTACGCTGTGATTTCGGGAGGGGAAAAAAGGGGGGGTGAGAGATTAATCCACACAGAAACTGTGTATAGTAAGTAATTGTCGAGCGGGGCCTGAGAGGGACCACTATTGATCTTACGTATTAACTGATCATGCCTACTGTGACATCTCACAGAATATTCTTTCTGGACTGGATTACAAGTAGATTTTGTAGCTGTAGTAGGGTTCATCAAAGCAGACCTCTACATCTACTGTAAAAGCAGAAATTTTCGGTGGTGTTTTATTTTCGGTAACTTCATTGCCAACAATTTTCACTGAAAATAAAACGCACGGAAAATTTCGGCACTACCGATACTGTATACATGTAGTACTAGTACACTTACCTGGAAAACGGGTTTTACCGAAAATTTCCCTCCACCGAACCGCCAATTTTGGAGAATACCGAAAATAGTACATCACCGAAATGTGTGCTTTTACAGTATGCTGCATCACAAAGCAAAAAAATGATCATTGTCGTTAACACAAAGTACATGTACTCTTGTGGCAAAACTTCATGGAATAATATGTCTTGTTTGGGCACTCCTGTTGATGTGGAAATTATTGTACTGTAATAAGGCGGATGCCGAGCCGATATCATTCATAGATACGAGCAAGAGCACAAAGTGACAAGTTTTTACAAGCGGACCTCCAATTTCACGAGATAATAATACAGTGATAACAAAGGAGAAAGAGAAATGTTATGAGTTATGACGAACTGTCCACCAACATAACCATATCATACACAGTCAGCGAGTGCGACAAAATGGCACAAAACTGACAAAGAGGACTGAGACATTCAGCGAC